CTTTTCAAACAGACCTTATCCCATTCTCTGGGTGTGGGCTGGGGGGGGGGGAGAGCGAGCTGCAAACGGCTAGGTCCAGGAGGTGATTCCCAAGCTAAATAGGAGGTAAATAGGTTGGGATGTTATGCATAGGTACTAATCACTGCCTGTAAATTCCCAGCTTGCCTTGCCTAAAAAGTGGGCGCTAAGCAAAGAAGAGGAGGGATTCCTTCCTCTGGGTGCCCACAGCGCCCTTAGCCCAGCAGGCGCCTAGCACAAGGTACACCAAAGAGGGAAGTGATCTCTGGTGCCCACCAGGCTCCCAACCAAGACAAGAACTGCCCCTAACTACTTCCCCACTGTTTCTCAAAATCATCCCACAGCGTTTGGCACAGGGCAAATGCGAGAGAGACGTTTACTCTCATTTGTGGAGTAACAGGACAGGGTTATGAGCTTCCTTGCAGAATATCGGCGAAGACCAATTACAGAGGCTGGAACTGAGCCGTCACCCGACCTCTCCAGGCTACAGAACCGCCCCTTCCGCTCCCACTAACTGGAAGCACACTGGGGAGTGGGCAGCAGATGCCATCTTCCCTGGATGCCATCAGCAACAGAACAGCGGGCTCACCCCTAGCAACAGAGCCAGGCTAATCCTGCCGCCTGCCGGAAGCTGGAGTCCACGGGCCGGAAGCTGCGGCCGGGCCAAGACCGAACCGCCCCACCCCCGTCCTCCGGCCGCGAGGGTATCCGCGGGGGGCTTCAGAAAACAGCCGCCCCCCGGGCGCCTTCCACAATCCAGCCCGGACGAAGACATGTTCCCACCAGCTGAAGGCCGTCTATGGGCACTGGGGGGTCACTTACAAGAGCTATGGTTGCCGTCGCCATCTTGCGTCCGTCGCAGCCGCTGAGCGCGCCACACGCTCCAGCGTCCTCCGTAGTCTCGCGCGATCGAGCAGCCAACAGAGCAACTCTCGCGATAAAACCCCTCCCCACCACCACCACTAGAGACGCAGAAGGAGAGGAACGCGCTTCCGGGGCGGGGCAAATCAGAGTTCGGAGTAGGGATTGGCGAACTAGAGCTCGGATTTGGGGGGACCCAGGTTTGAGGACTAAGGTAGGATGGAGCAGGTTAGTAGGATTATGCGCACCCGGGGATCTATACCCGCAAGACCTCCAGCGTTCTTCGGCTCGCACATTTGCGTCATCTCCCGCTGGGGTAGTGCTCTATTTCTCTACGGACAGACTTAGGCGTGTTTGCTCGCTGTTACCAAGGAGACGAGAAGAGCTGCCCTCTCAGGCCGAGGGAGTCTGTGTAGACTGCTAAGCCAGGTAACAAAAGTACCACATCAGGCCGCACCTTAGATTTCACGATACATTTTTTTCGAGAAGGTATTATATTTATTTTCTCTCACAGAAAAGCTTCTGTGAGAGACGGAAGGGGTCGGAAGTGGTGACACGTGCCTGTAATCCCAGCACTCGGAGGCTGAGGCAGGAAGATTGCTGTGAGTTTGAGGCCAGCCTGGGTTACAAAGTGAGTTCTAGGTCGGCCTGAACTGTATAGTGAAACTCTGTCTCAAAAAGACAAACAAAACAAAACAAACCAGACAGAAGGAGTTCCTAATGGGTGGATAGGAGATGCAACGTCGTTGCGTTGTAACCTCTCTAAAGGTAGGAGACCTTATTTAATTGGCGGCATGTTCATCTTTCTCGTTATTCGTAAGTGTCTCTTAGTACAGATGCTTTTTAAGTTAGGTGGCATTCAGTTGATGGACCTGTAATCTGAAACAGCTCGTGAGCCAGTGATCTTGTGTGAACACTATGCACAAAGGTCCATTTAGGCCTTGAGCTATATTTAAAAGCTCGGGGTGTCCATCCACGTCGTGCAAGGAGCTGCCCCAACATTTGCCATGGGCTGTACCCACTCCCAAGATCTCAACTCAGTTATCCACCTGAAAGGAACACCTCTGTAAGCTCAGGCATCTTCATTTCTTGAGGTAATGAAGTATCTTCCCAGGCTAGGCAGGTCTCTTTGCAATCTTGAAAAAGTTAGTAAGTTGAATGTAGACACATCTAATAAAATAGGCCAGAATATTTTCCTCCTCTCCCTCCTGAAACTCCTCCAAAATGACAGGAAAGGAGATTTGCAAGGGCTAAGCCTATGAATGCAGGAAAGTAGATTATCTTGGAGTTATAGAACTGGACAGTAAAGCAGCTTAAGCCCATTAAGCTGTGGATGTTAGTGTCTGAGGATCCTGTGAAAGTCTGCTTGGAAAGCAGAACATCCCAGACCTCTGATCCCACTACAGGGACTAACAAGCACTGCCCCACCAGCAGTAGCTGGGATGTGAGTTCCAGAAGAGGACACTGAGGCTTTACCCCAATTCAAAAGTGGAGCAGTAAGCAAGAGTCCTTTGCCTTTCCCTTGTCTCCACCAATCCTATCCCCAGAGCCTGGCCTCCTACATGTTCTATCCAGGTTCTTCTGAGACAAGGGTTTTCGTGCCTCAGCAGCTCCCAGCTCTAAAGACTGGCAGCAACGGCCTAGTAGAATGGTCCAGCCAGACCCCAGAGTCTCAATTAACCACGCAATAAACCCCAGTCAAAAGAACAGCCCATATTAAGCACAGCTGGACAGCTCAGGATCACCAGGTACAACAGGATGAGGAAACAAGCTTCAAAAGGAACTGAGCCAAAACAAAAAAAACCCAGAGGAAAAAAAGTAAAATACAATCCTTAGAGATATTAGAGATTTTGCACCCAAAAGATAAGAACACTTACAGAGAAAGCATATTAATCAAGCAAGAGTCCAAAAGGAAAATTTGAGGAAAATGAACAATTCAGTAGGCTTGCAAAGTAACATTGGAATCTTCTAGAACACATAAAAATAAATCCATACGGGTAGAAAACAGAAACTGCAATAATCACACTGTTCAGTACTCTCCTTTGCTTAGGAGCCACCTGGCCCATCAGAGCCTCTATAGTGGAGGGGATGGCTCAGCTGGGTGTTATCACCAGCAGGGGCTGCCCCAGGGTGCCCCTTGGTAGCAGTTCCCAAGTAGATAGTGATATGTAACACTACACTTACATACTTGGAGCCTGGCATCATCTGTGCTCATCACCCCAGAGTTCAGAATTTAGAGTTCTCATCCTTACAGCAACACTGCAGAGGGACTACCCTCAGTATTCGCAATAAGGAGTAGCAGGGTCAGCTGTGGTCATACCTCAGGGAACACAGATCAGCTCTAGAGCTTGCGCCCTTAATCACATGATTGCATCCCTCAAAAGGTAAGTCCTATGTTGCAAATTCAGAAAATAAGGGAAGCAACAACAACAAAAATGAAAATGTCTTTCTGGATAATGAATAAAAGAGTCACTGAAAATTTCCACTGGAACAAAGAAAAAATTGAGAAACAGTGAGAAAGAGCTCATAGGTAAAAGATCAAATTCAGAGAGGAATGGGGGTTCCAGAAGAAAATGGCATTGGGGGCTGGGGATTTAGCTCAGCGGCATAAGCGCCTGCCTTGCAAGTAGGCAGTCGTGAGTTCGATCCCTGGTACCGATAAAAAGGAAAAAGACAAAAAAAAAAAAAAAAAAGGCATTGACAGTCGTATCCTGAGGAAGAAATTATTTTCAAAGAAGTCAAGCTTTTTTTTTTTTTTTTTTTTAGTGATAGTGGTATTGAGTAAACTCAGGGCCTTTGTACTGAGCTACATCCCAAGTCCTGTATTACTTGTTTTCAGACAGTGTTGCATTAAATTGCCCAAGAGGAACTCAAAATTGTGATCCTCCTGCCTCAGACTCCCAAAGTGCTGAGATTATAGGCATAGAACCAAGTTTCTTGTACCTTGCTACCCTTTTAAGCATATGAGATTAGGATAGACATGAAGGCAAAGACTTTGTAATCTTTCATGCTTCCTCTCCTAGTCTCCTTGGAGGATATTCCTTCTGACTTGGGGAGAGTAAAGAGAGAAAAGCACAGATCCACAGACGAGAGACAGGGAATGTTATAGGACACTAAAGAAGGGTAATTCAGGCTGACAGCTGGGCTACAATCCCAAGAGCAGGCAGTCTAGGGCATAGGGCCCACATGGTGGGGGCTCCAGAAAAAGAAGAAACTGGTAAATTATATCCTGACTTCTGTAAGAATTGAGAGGAGTCCACATTTCTGGAGGGGAATCTGAAGATCCAAAGTTGAATTAATAAACACAGAGAAAACTTAAAAAAAAAAAAAAAGACCAATTATTAGCTCCATGAAAAATAAAACATCAAATAAGAAATAAAATATAACCTACGACATTGTTATGGTTTGTGTCTAGATGTTCCCCCAAAGCCTCATTTGGTCAGTATTTTTCAGAGGTGGCTGTATATAGGGTGTGTGTTTGATTTGTAGTATAATGCTAGGATGAAGGGTGGGTGATTGCTGGATCAGTTCACTCACTGGATTGGCACCATCCTAATCCCAGCAGTCTAGATAAGATGAAAGGGCAGAAAGAAGTTTGTCTCTCTCCTCTCTTGTTGCTTTTGCTGTCTTCCACTGACATGAACTGTTGCTCTTCTGCCATGTGGCACCCTGCCTTGGAGCCAGCCGATTATGGACATGAACTCTCCTAAAACTGTGAGCTAAATAAACCTTTCCCCTTTAACTTTGGGTGTTGGGTATTTTGTCTCAGCAATGAGAGAAAAATAACTAAGACATCTTGTTCTCTGCTGAGACCTATGGTAATGAAGCTGAATCACACCCAAGCAGCTGTGCCAGCCATCACACTGGTACTGTGCTGGGTCAGAAGGGAGGCAGATGATTTCTTCTCCCCTGAGAGGAGAGATGGCAAATCTTTTAGAGTTCTCAGTGATAATAGCCTGCTGTGGCACATGTACCATAGGTCTGCTACCACTACCATAGAGGTTGCCACTTTGGGTGCCTAATGTAGAAAAATCCATAAACTAAAAGCATGCTTGTAGTTTTGAGAAACATGGGATTCTAAATGCCAAAAACACAGCTAACAGAGTTCAATCTCAGGTGGATTAGGTAGAAGACTGCATTTATTTGTTATTGCTTCCCCCAAAACATCTAACTTTTAAAACGATATGTATGCAGAGAAAATAAAAAACTCAGCATAAGCATGATTAAAGGCAGACTGTAGTACCGATGCTTTTAAGTTCCATTTAATGACTGGTACAATCTGCTATGTATTTACCACTCAACATGACCATGCACAAGCAGACAGCTTAGCAATAGGATTCCCTCCTAGACTGTGTAAGTTATTTGAAATCTGCCTTTTAAGTTGAAATGTATGAAATTTTAGGAAACATTGTAAATAGTACTGTAATGTTTAAGATAACTTGAAATTCACTATAATTGTTCATTTATTTGATATACCTTGGCAGTTTCATTTTGGTTTTTGGCTTTGGTTAGGGTGATAGTCTAGGCAAAATCTCACCACCCTCAAGATGTCCATTCTCTAACCACAGGAGCTAGTGAATGTTAGTTTACATGGCAGAATGTACTTTGCAGATGTGCTTAATCTTAACAAATTTTGAGGTGATCATCCTGGATTATCAAGGTGGACCCACCCTAATCACTTGGAGTCCTTATCAGAACTTTCTTAGCAGCAAACAGTCAGCTGATTTAAGACAAAGATTTGGCTTGCTGCTTTATCCTTGAGGGTGAAGAGACAGCCAAGGAATGTGGGCAGCCTCTAGAAGCTGAGAATGTTCCTCAGTTGACAGCCAGTAAGAAAATGAGGATTTAGGGGGCTGGGGATTTAGCTCAGCATCATAAGTGCCTGCTTGTCAAGCACAAGTTCATGAGTTCCAGCCCTGGCACAAAAAAAAAAAAAAAAAAAAAAAAAAAAAAGCACGGTGGGGAGCATTTCTAGTACTTCAAAGCAGTGAATAAATCTGCCAGTAGCCCAAATGAGTGGAAAGTAGATTCTCCCCTAAAATCCCCAAAAAGAAATGAAGCCTGCCAACCCCTTGACTTTAGTCCCATATCAGACCTCTCACCTATTATGACAAATTATACTTTGTATTTTGAGTCACCAAATTTGTGATAAATTTTAGTGACAATATACTAGAACTAGTGCAACAGAGAGCCTTTCTATATTGACATTTGAAATGCTTAATCAGAAATCTGATGTATTACATTTCTGTATACAATTTTAAATGTCCAGCAGCCAGGAACTAAAAAGCCAGGGCAGTGGATTTGAGGGGTGTGGGGGTGTGTGTGTGTGTGTAGAATATTGAAATGTCTAAGACTGAAAAGAGTAGTTAAGTGAGGGAAAGAGAGGGAAATAGGAATGCACAGCCTGAGGGCCCCCGAAGGAGCTGTTCCCATGATGAAGGTGTCTTGGATACCTGATCTCTGACCCCACCTAGCCAAGGAACACTGGAGAAAAATAGCCCCTTTGAGGGGCTATGAGGGAGGGCACAGTTCCTGATCTAAAGCAAATGGAAGGCTTGAGGGGGTGCTCCAGAATGGTTCTGCCTAGGACCAAGGCTTTGCTGAATATGGCCTCAATTCCAGGTCTCTGCCCTCTTTTTCTCCAGCTGGGTCGACCCTCTTAGGTGCTCAGTGCTGTGTCTGACACCAGCAAGACTCTGTTGCAGTTTGAGGTCCAGTTTCCTGGCCTAATTGTGGTACCAACCAGGAATGGCTGCTTTCCCTGACCACATGGAACCACTCCCCTGGCAGAGGTTTGTTCAGGGTTAGCCCCACCTTCCACCCCACCCAAGCTCCCTTGGCCCCCAATGGGCCCCACCACCACACCAGGACCCCACACTGCTAGTAAAGGTTGGGGGTCCTCACTAGCAAGCTGATGTTCATTAGCTCTCAGGCACACTAGTGAGGACAGCTTCAGCAGTCTGGACCTTCCCTACATGGCTTATCCTGAGCCAGCAGCACCTGGCTGGGCCTCCAGGGTTGAGCAGGTCAGGATTGGGTCCCTCGGTACTTGATGAAGGTGGTTTCCAAGAAGGCAGCCAGCTTTGTGCGGTCGTCCTGCAGAGAGGAGGGAAGCATGATGGTATGAAGCAATATGACATATCCTGAGCCCAACCCCTTGCCCCTTGAGCTATGCCCCCTGCCTACCTCATGTAGGAAGCCATAGTGCACAAGTTCAGCTGCGAGGTCCTGGGCACTATCGTCTATAGTAGGATAAAGGGCAAACTGTGAGGTTGCTGTATGCCTGGTGCCTGGGTCCACTTACCACCCAGGGCTCCCCTCTGCCTACTTGGTAGCAGGTCATAGGTCAGTTGCCTGTGTAGTCGGTCCTCCAGCACCAGAAGCAGTGTGAGCTGGGAGGTGGGAGGGCATGTTTGGGTGCAGCCACAGTTGGCCCACCCAACCTACCCTGCCCAACCCGGCCCAGGACCCTGCTCACATGCCAGCGTGCCTTGTCTTCGCCCCTCTCCAAGTTGCACTGCATCTGGACTACCTGGGGTAGGGAGGCCAGGTTACCCCCAAGGGTAGGAACTTGGCAGAGCGACCCAGAAATGATAGCAGAGATTGGAAGTTAGAAAATTTCCTAGGGCTAACCCAGAAAACACGTCTCATTCCTAGCTGCCTGGTGAGTTAAGGAAAACTTCTGTAAGTAGGCACTGGAGGTGGATACTGAAGGATGAATAGAAGACATCACAAGCAAAAAGAATGCCTTGAAAAGGAAGGAAGTGTGGAAAGCAGAGGGGAGAAGTCAGCAGGGATGATAGTGCGGAAGAGCAGAATGCCAACAGGACCAGTCCTCAAGACAGTTGGGAGTTTGGGTTGAAGACTCTCATGAGCTTTCTAGGCAGCCAGGAACCAGGTAGCTTTGGGCATTAAGACGGGAACATAGGCTGCACTGTGGGAGGAAGGAAGCCAGGACAAGTAGGGTCAGGCTGGGGGCAGGTACAACATCCAGGTGAGTAATAGAGGTTGCTCAGATCAGGGTAGTGCTGTGGCCACACCCAGAACCTTGGGAACTCGGTGGATATGGCCATGAACAGTAGAGGGAGAGACAGGCTGACCAGGAAGAGAGATTTGGGGAGATGTGGTTCCTGGGAGGCCTTGGGGAACATCCTAGGACACAAGTGTCAGGGAATCAGCTAAGTAGGTAAGTGGCATCAGAATGTTAGGAAGAAAAAGGCGGGGCGGGGGGCTGGGGATTTAGCTCAGCGGCATAAGCACCTGCCTTGCAAGCAGGTACTGGTACCGGTACTGAAAAAAAAAATGTTAGGGAGAATGAGATATCCAGAGGAAGGCTATTTGGAATACAAAGAGATTTGGGTGGGCAGCAGGATGGGGGAAGGGTCTGCAGGAGCAAGGAACCTCTGGGGAAAAAATGAGATCCTAGCATTGTTCTAAAGCCCTCCACTCTCCTAAAGGCCCCAGCCTAGGGAGATGAGGAATGCAGGCCCAAAGAGAAGGGCACCTGTTATCTGGACAGCTCTGAGAGACAGCACAGCACAGCACTTGCCTTTCTGGTCTCAGAATCAAAGGGTTCTGGCGTTGGGGTCTTGGCCTTCTGGGCCTCTTCAAGGGGTGGGGCCAACACACGGGGAAGCCCCAGGGGCCGAGTGGCAGCAAAATTCATCAGTGGGTAGATCCCATTTCTGAGAACACATTGGGTTGGAGTGGCTGGCAGGCCTGGCAGCCCCTGTTCCCCAGTCTCATGCCAGCCAGCTCTCACCTGACATCTTCCAGGAATTTGTCCAGCTCCAAGAAGGAGACTTCTGAGTACCTGGGAGGGGGTGGGTATTACATGAAGGGTGGCCAGCCAGGGGCTAGCCAGGGAACTTAGGAGAGGCTTCAAGGTGGCTACTGCTCACCGCCACTGCTTCATGGGCTGGTGGAGCCGGGGGATCTCTGCCAGGACTGCGTGCAAGTCCATTGCCTTGGTCTTTTCTTCCACTATATTCTCAGGCATGAGGTCTGTGGGTCATAGGAGCACTCTGGTTCCCAGCACAGCCATAAGTCCTGCAGGGCCTCTTCCACACCCCAACCTCAAGGCCCCTGACCCATCCAGGCCTGCCTGCCCCTCACATTGGTGCTGGATGAAGCAGTGGGCTGCCAATAGCTTCAGTGAGTGCACCTCAAAGAGCACTCGGTGGAAGAGGAGGTTATGGGCAGAAGGTCGGTGGGCAGGGTCCCGGGCCAGGCAGGAAAGGATGAACTCCTGGGTACATGGAAAGGAGAGGCTGTGGTGGACAAAGGCTCCCTGCTGTAGTCTCACAGTCTGAAGAGAGGAGACACCCTGAAGTCCCTAGACCCCAAGGTTGCTGCGGGGATGCACATAAGGAAAGGCATGCCATTAGCAGCCAGGCCAAGACCCGACCTCCTGAACTTGAGAGTAATCAGGCCATGAGCCCGTAACACCCAAAGTTTGTTTTCCCTTGATCTTCAAGGAAATGTGGGGAGTGGGTGCTGTTATCCCCAGCATACAGACAAGAGGCCTCCAAACCACAGCCTGCCCCCAACATGGAGGTGATCTTGATGAGCCCCTATGCTGTCTCACCCTGTCTCTTGGGCTTCTCATGCTCACCAAGCCCATTCTCCTCTCCCACATCCCCAAAGGTTGAACTGTTAAACTGCTGAACTCTGACCAGAAAGGCTGTGGATACAGCTTCCATCCTGTATCTCCTTTGTCTGCTGTGTGTTCACCATGCCCCACAAAAGCCTGGCAACTTAGAGGTAGGGATTCGGGTCCGGTAGACCTGAGTGCAAATGCTGGCTCCATTACCTACTCTAAAGCCTTGGAAAAGTCCTCAGTGTCTCTGAGCCTCATTTTCTTTATAAAATTGGTGTAGTAATAGGAACCACATAGAGAATGTCTCTACTTATCCTTAAAATCTGTGACTCCTTTCCTGCCTGAGGCCCTACCTTAGCTCCCAGAGAGGTCCCAGTGTATTCTCTTCCTTTCCTGTGGGCCTTAGTATAGAGGCTGGAGCAACCCTCTGGTATGTCAACCTAGCTGCTTACTCTTTAGAGCACCTCATAGTCCTGCCTCGGGTACCCTCGGCCATCCCTAAAAGAATGCAGCAGCTGCTCACCCGCATGTTGGGGTCATTCAGTGAGTGCCTAGCTTGAGCAATGGCTTCTTCTGTGACTCTGGTGTCTCCATTAGCCTGAATCTCCAGCACAGCCATCTGGGGTCAGGGCCAGGTGGAATCCGAGAAGAGATAGCATAGGTGAGAAGGGATGGAGCCCCACCTGGGGGGGGGGGCTAGGAGGTGGGGCCAGTACCTCCAGCGCACACATCCCAAAGGAGAAGATGTCCACTGCAGTACCATCTGCGACCTCTGAAAGGGGGAGAGCAAAGCAGGGTGGGTAGGACAGATGCAAGGGGAGGTCAGTCATCAGGGTCCCTCTTGGACTCACCGCCATACTCTGGTGGGAAGAAATGCAAGTTTCGCAGTTCCTGGCGCTCAGTATGAATGGGGCTCCTGAGATCATCCGGGAGCTCTACAGAAGAGCACAGTGCTAAGCAGCAGGCCTCTCCACAGACCCCACCCCCAGAGGCTCCACGCACCATTGGAGAAGATGCGGTACCACACTGGGTCGGCCACCACAGAAAGAAAGAAAGAGCCGTGTCAAGCCCTGGGCTCCCAATAGGTCCTCTGCCCACCCTGCCTAACCCTGTCCCTTCCGGCAGCACCAGAACCGATCTTGATGAGGCCATTGTGCTGAATGAAGATGGTGTCACTGGTCAAGTTCCCATGGATGATGGGGGGGCTGCAGGCATGCAGAAAGCTGCAGGAGAGTGGGGGAAGGCAAGAGTCAGTGGTTATGAGAGCAGCGGGTGCTACTGGGCAAGCACTTGTGCAGCTGGGTCCTCACCTGAGTGCCGACAGGATCTGTGTACACCAGCGTTTCCAGGCCTGGCAGCAAAGCAGACACATGAGTCTCTTAGGTGGGCACAGGAGAGGCCACCATTGACTGGTCTAAAGCCATCACCCCACCTCCCACCCCATCTGCACCCCAGCCTCTCTCCATACCCGGGTGCTCATGGCCTTGTGGTTCTTCTTGGTCTTTTTCAGAAACTGCTTGAGGCTGCCCGATGACACGTACTCTGTGATGAAGATGACCTGCAGGATGGGTCAGGCTCTGCCTATAGGTGGGCATCCTTGCCTCCCTACCAAGCTGGCACCCTTCTTTATCCCTGCACCCATCCCCAGCTCACCCTTGCTTGGGCCTCGGAGGAGTCCAACCAGTACTTGTGCAGTTTAACAATGTTGGGGTGGTCCACTAGTGCCAGCTGCTCAAACATAGTTTGGATCTTCTCCTGGGGAGGGAGTATAGTCATAGGGCAGTCTCTGGACTGGTCAGGTTAGGAGGAGGTGGTGAGCCTTACCTCATGGGCTGCGAAGGCTTTCCTGTCGCCAAAGTGCAGCTCATTCCACACCACTTCTACTCCTTCCTCCGTGTCCATGGCCAGAAAGGTGCTTTGGATCCCAGGCATATTCCCTTGGTTCACCTGGGAGTAGAAGGAATGTGTGCCTTGGTAAGTGCAGGGTCAAGGGTAGAGACTGGGTCCCACCCATACCCTTCCTGCTTGGAGCAGCTGGGGACCTCCAGGGTGCTGGCCCTGGAGTCTAGGTCCAGAGCCTAGGGGCGGTACCCACAGGGGTTGGAGTAGGGCTACAGAGGTCTGGCGAAGTTCCCTGGGCACGGGGAGGTGATTTTGGAAGGACATCGATCTTCGGAGAGTAGAGGTCCTTAGACCTAAGGACCAGCCAGAACGCGGCCGCTGGAGAGGCCTCAGGTTGTCTGGACAACATGAACACCGCGGCTGTTCGAGCCTCACCCCTCTGCAGCCCACCTGCTCACGCCGCTTCTGCCAGCGGCCGCATGGGCTCTCTTCCAGGATGTCGCTCTCGTCCTCACTCTCGTCCTCCCGCTCCCGCTCTCGGCTCCGTCTGGGCGCTGGCTCCGGGGCCGCCATGGTTCGGCGGGCCCAGGCTGCCGTCTGCCGTGCGCTCGGTCGCTCTGCGGCCACCCAGCCCAGAGCCCAGCCGAGCAGGCGCCGCCCCGAGCCCCCACCCGGCTGGGAGGAGCGGACGCGCGGCGGGCGGACCTCGGGGGCCCGGGGTGGAGCCGGCCCACCCCTGGCGAACCGCCTCTGCGGGCCGGGACCGGGTTGGATCTAGGGAGCTGACGGGCCCCGCCCCGGCCCGCCCCACCCCGCTCCGCCCCAAATGAGGTTCTGTTCGTTCAGCTCCGGCCCGCTTTCGGCAGAGGCCCCGCCCACTCTCGGCGGAGGCTCGGTCTGCCCCCTGGCAGCGGCCTCGCTGGACAGAGCCGGGAGTTCCAGGGAGCCTCCCAGGCCCCTCCTGACAGCGCCTACTTTGAGCCCTTGGGCCAGCCTGGGCGGTATCAGTCCAGGCCTCTCCCGGCATGAGGCGGCCTCTTCTTGGCTCTGCATCCCTACCTGATTCCTGTCACACACAACCTGTGGCCCAGCCTGGGTTTGCTCTACCTTGGCTCCCTAAAGGTTTGGAGGGGATCTGGGGCCAGGGCACCTGGGGGCCTACCCAGGCAATGGCCTGCCAGCTTCAGCTGCAGAAAACTCCACGGGCTTAGAGGTGGGTGAGTCATTCCCCCAAGGAACAGGAAGAGGACCATTGAAGGTGACCCATAAATACACCAGCTGGCTGGGAGGGGTTAGACTTTAATTCATAACCACAAATCTCACACTCAAAATTCTGTGCTTCCCTTTGTGAGCAAGGCCACCTTCTAGGAAAGCAAGTTTTTCTCTTTTCTTCCCCAGATGTGCTCCTGCTCTACCGTGGGTTCCCTTTGCAGCATCGGGCCTCCCTGACCACACCCTATGGAATTCCCATGAGAAACCCTTAACCCCACCACCCCACTATCTCCCCACAGCATCTCCCTTTTACACCTGCCCTTTTCTTTGCTACAGATTGGGTGCCTGTGGCACCTCAGACTTCATCCCTAAGGGAACTCCCCCTACTGACCACATTGTTCTCCCAGCTTTTACCCCAGGTTGGAATCTGCTCCAAACCATCTGGCCTGACCTGGTCACCTCCCCCAACCTTAAAAGGTTTAGCTCAGTGAGTTTGGGCATTCACATTCTGCATCTTCCAGATACTGGGCCTGGAGCAGGCCTGGGAGATACTCTTGGAGACATCGGACCATCTTTCATGGTTTGAGTGTGTTCACCTGGCACCTGCGACCATATCAGGCAGTCTGTGCTCACAATGTGATTGATAGTGGAACCTGGAGCCATGCAGTGTCACCTTGATCTCTGGAGGGGCTGGAGACTGAGGTCAGACACTCATGACCAGCTATTGCCGAAGTGGCAGAACCCAGTAAAATCATGGACACCAGGGCTGGTGGCACTTGTGCACACTGTCATGCCATTGCTGGAATCTGTGCACATTGTTCAATGACTGAGAGAACCTCTGGACATCCACACCTGTCCTTGCCTGGTATTTCATGAATTTCCCAGAGAAATGTAGAAGAAACATCTGCTTCCACACTGAGAAGGCTCTGACAATCCAAAGAATGACTTGGTCAGGTCCACCTTGGCAAGTAAGTGAGTTTATTAGGTGTCACTTACAGAGCAATGGACAACCTGTGAGCTGTAGTACAATACTATCCAATCACCAATCCTTCTTTATTAAACTACTGGTTTGATAGGGATTTTAATTAGAATGGCAAAAACAGTATCAAAACAAGAAGGGTTCTTGGGAAATTTTGTGTCTGCCATTACCATCTCATCCTTATCAGGAACTCTATCAGTCTCAACATGCACTTTCCAGCTGTGGTAATGTGGTGTCTTGTGTTGTGGACTGGTGCACAGTCTCAGCACCTTGGGTGAGGACCCATGGAAAGCTACCGAAGTGGCCCTTTGGCTAGAATCGGAGGACAATTTTCTCTACACCCTGGCTGTGTCCCACAAGCCCTCTGCTGCTGTAGTTTTCCTCTAGCAATTGACTTGTGGCTTTCACAGCTTCCTGAGTCCTGGGAGTCCTCCCCATAAATCAGTGGACATGCGGGTGGTGCTAGCGACCCTGGGTCCCTTCTCACTCAGCATGGGGACCCAGTCCTAACTATGAAAGCCCCACAGTTGGCTCTGACCATGATCTCACTTCTGCCCTCTCCAGTCAAATCCATTGTTGACATCCTGGCCTCAACCTATTCCTGCAGGGCCTTTGCCCTGGCATTGCCCTCTGCCTGATATATCCTTCCCAGGTGTACTCTTAAGTCCATTTCCTGAAGATCTTGATTTAAATAGCACCTTTAGCTGGCTGCCCTGTCTCCTGTCCTAGCATCACAGCCAGGACTTCACTTAATATTTACCACCTGATCATGTCTGTTTTCTCCCCTCTGCTTTGCTCAATAACCCTGCCAGTATTGAGCTCCAGGAAAGCAAGATGTATATTCTTCCTGGCAGCAGCCTCAGCAATTGTGTTGAGTGGTGGAGTAAGCAGGGATGTGGGGCAAGGTGGCATGACCCAAGGAAGCCCCGGAGGTAACATCTGAACTGAAATCTCTGTGAATTTCTTTTTTGTTCTCTGCCCTATAATCAGACACACATCATGGTGAGTTGAACAGTGTTTCCAAGAAGACATGTCTGTGTCCTAACTCCTGGTTCCTGGGAACATGGCCTTTTTGGGAAAAGGATCTTGGCAGATATTTAAAATCCTGAGATTAGATCCTTCTGGACTCAGGAGGGCCCTGCATACAATATTTGAATTCTTTGTGAGGAAAACAGAGAGTGACTTGAGGCACAGAGAAACTAGGGGCACAGCCATGCTAGGAGGAACAGAGCCTGGAGAACTGCCTAGAAGGTGAGAGCCACCAGTGTTCCAAGAAGGACATGGAGTGAATTCTTCCCCCAAAGGCTTTGGAAAGAACCAGCCTTCCCCACACTTCGGTTGTAGACATCTGTCCTCAAGAACTTTGTGACAGAACTTTATGCTGTTAGCTATGTCACTCATGGTACTTTGCTATGACAGTCCTAGTCTATTAATGTCTGTTCGTGCCCTCCCAAAAAAGAACAGCAATGCATATCATATGTTCATGGGTGGGAATATAGCATGTGCTTCCCAGTCATTTAACACTGATCCTGTTCCCTGACCATTACCATCAGCTCTCAGAGACAGCAACTGAAGCAGATCCTCGGCGACTTGCCTCTGGTACTCGGCGACTTTCCTCGCTGGTACTCCAGATCCCATTCTCTGCTGCCCCTACCTCCATGCTTGTCCATCACACATTCAGTCAGGCCCTTTATTGCATTTCACATGTTCTCCAGGGATACCCTCTCTCTGGGCTGTCTGAACAGTCTGTAATTTTATTGTGGCACTTAATACAACAAGTTTAATGCTCACCACTTTCTCTACTTCACTATGTGGACCTGCCCAGATTCCTTGATTGTCCCCTTGGGGTTTTTCTGAGCCATGTGGGATTTTGGGTGGCCTGCTTTCTGAATTCCTGCCTATTTCTTTCTTTCTGGCAAATGGAAGATCTCCTGGCTTTCAGAGCCAGGACAGATGTCCTATATGCCAGGAGACTCTGGGTGAGAGAAAAACAAATGGCCAGGGGAGCACCTTGAGGCCCTTTCTGCTGTCCACCCTGATGACTTTGTCTCTTGGTTTCACATCTGTTTGTAGCTCTCTCCAAGAAATGCAGAGTAAACTCAGAGACATGGTTCCAAGATTATAACACAGCTGGTACAAGGGGCATCCCCCTCTGAGATGGATGATGGGCCTGTGGCTTCTGTCTTCACTCTAAGGAACCCAGTGTCATGTTGTGAGCTGTCCTGGGGAAGCCACATAGCAAGAAATGGCTGGGTCTGGATCATAGCTGGCTACCACCTGGCACTCTTAAAAATTTGAGAGTGGATGCAAGTGAGCATATTGTATGTACTTCAAGTACTGATTGGAAATAAATAACCAATTCTTTCAAGAGAGATTTCAGAAGGCTAGCAATAAAGTTAACCAAGGATTATGTGAAATATAGGTGCAGAGACGTCAAAGTCTAGGTAGACGATAACCAATACCTATGGTAAGCGCTCTCACTCTAAAAGGCTGTCAATGATAGAATCTTACCACATTCATCAAATCTCCTTAAAGAGGTATTTGAGCATTACATTGTTATCTTAAATGTTTGTTGGAAAGATCAAATTTCAGTTTGTCAACAGAACAAAAAAACAAGTAATTACAAAGCCTGCTGGACAAACCTTTTGATGGACAAGCATTACCTGTGTTAGATTCTACATGGAATGATTATGGCAATGCACCACTGCAAACTGTGCAAACATTAAAACTTTAAGGCTTTTATTATTTATATTTTTGAATTGTGCTGAGGATGAAACTCAAGGCCTTCACATTGAGCTACATTATTAGCCTTTCTTATTTTCTTTAATTTTAAGATAGTTTCGCTAACTTGCCCAGGCTAGGCTTGAACTTGTGATCCTCTTGCCTTAGCCTCAGAGGTTAGAAATTTTAGATCAAGGTGCAGGCAAGGCCGGTTCTCTGGAGGCTTCTCCTTAGTGTATTTTAGATGCCTTCTTCCTATCTCCTCACATGGTGTGTATCTATCTCTTGGTCCCTTTTAAGTGACCCCAGTCAGACTAGATTGGGGCCCACCATAGTGATCCCATAGTAATTAATCACCTGTTTAAAGATTTGTATACAAATACAGTGACATATTCAGGTATTGAATTTAGGACTTCTATATTTAAATCTTTTAGGAACAGAATCCAATTTAAACAGTTACTTATAGATGCCAGGAATCAAACTCAAAACCTCATGCTTGCCAGGCAGGTACTGTGCCACTGAGCTATATCCCCAGCTTTAACAATTACTTTAAAATTATGTTGTTGACTGTTAATGAAACTTTTTGTTCTTTCTAGTATAGAGCATTGAAGCCAGGGCCTTACAGTGAGCTACATTCCCAGACTGTTTTTTTACTTTGAGACAGGGTCTCATTAAATTGCTCAGGCTGGGCATGAACTTGTAATTCTCCTGCCTCAGCCTCCCAGAGTGCTGAAACTACAGATGTACACTACCAAGACCAACTTTAGAGGATTATTCTTTAGTTTTCAGAGTCCTCAGAGGTGTTTAGGATGACCATGGCTGTTTCAATGTTGCTGTGTTCGGTGCCTCTTGGTTAATCTGTAGTTTCTGATAGTGTTCATCTCTGCAGTGAAACTCCTGGTGCACCCCAGTTTCTTTGATTATATGCTGGGTACTATATTATTTTATTTGCTTGTTTGTTTGGACATTGGGTTTCACTGTGTTATTTCATCTGTTCTTTAACTCCTAGGTTCAGCATCCCAATTAGCTGGAAGCACAGATGCTGCCGCTGACCAGCCGGCTCTTCTCTGAGATGTAGTTATAGATGAACTGAAGGTGCCATGTAATACATCTTTCTCCAGAGGACTTTGTCCACTTGTGACATGGTGAATTGCCCACGTACTAAAGCTGCTTTAGCCTGGACTAAGATCCTAGACTACCTTTGTGGATGCTCATCAAGGTTGAGAGCAGTATGCTCCTAGGATGTAGTCATTAAAGTTTTTGTTGTTGTTGTTTTTTGTTTTTTTAAAGTGGGATTGTGTTTGCAGTTTTCTGCTTTTCATGAATCCACAGCCAGGTAACTAAAGACTTGCTGGAAGGAAATAAGCTCATGTAAACACATGAAAATCATTTTATAATGAAAAGAAATACATTTATTGAAATTGGAACATAAACAATTAACAAGCTGTATTAGTCACCTTTTTATTGCTGGGATAAAATATCTGACACTTACATGTTAAATGAGGAAAAGGTCTATTTTTAACTCACACTGTTAGAGATTTCAGTTCATTGGGGCTCACTCTAAGGTAAAAATATCATGGCAGGGGTAGGGTGCAGGAACTTGCTCATTTGGTGACCTTCACAAAGCAGGGAGCGTGGATAAACTAAAGAAAAGCTAGACCTCTCAAAGTCATGATTCCAGTGACCTTCTCACTCGAAGTAGGCCCCACATCCCAAAAGCTCATTCGTTGATGAGAGTAGCATACAATCAAAACCCCTCTAGGTGTCCCCACCTGAATCAACACAAGAGTAGTCTTGGCAACCTGCACTTCAGCCTCACATACAGAGGGCCAGAGCAGAAGGACATGTCCCACCACACTCAAGGTGAAAAAGAGAGGACTTAACTGAATCAGTGAAAAAAAAAACCAGAAAAGCAAAAAAACAAAAATCAATCAACCAACCAAATCCAACAAAAACAGTGAAAATTACAAAAAACAAAACAAAACCAGTGGAGGTTTGTAGAAAAAGTGCCACAAAGAAAACAGAACTTCTACAATAAGATTCATTATGACGCCCATTCTGGTTTGACTATTATCTTCTTTTGAAGTTCTGTAATGTCTCCAATATTTTGGTTTTGTTCTTTACTATTTTGTTCAATTTTATTATAACTGATGATATAGGCAATTCTTTTTAAGATAGCAAGAGGCATTATGGTAACCATTGTTGATCACCTTGTATTTTGTTTTTACAGTGTGTATTATGTCCATTCTTTTGATTTCACAGACTCTGTTTTGCAACATCACATATGGTTTTATTCTCTTCAAAAGAAGTAACAAGAACTGTGGGAGTAATAAAACCCAAACTGTGTAACAGTCATTGTACAAAAGAAAGTGCTCTAAAGGATATAACTGCATGTATATATATATTTTATTGTTTTGTGTTGTTTTTATCGGTACCAGGGATCGAACTCACAACTGCCTGCTTGTAAGGCAGGCGCTTGTGCCACAGAGCTAAATCCCCAGCACCCAACTGAGTGTATATTTAAGTGTATAAGATAGATAACAGATTACTGAGTTTTGCTGGATCGTTGAACAAAACTGTTCGCAGTCTCACTGTTTGAAAGTCCCCTCTATATGCTTTAATTTGGTAACTTCAACAACTATTTCTAAGATGACAATATGTAATTAACTAGTGATTTCCTACTGTTTATTTTTTCTGAAATTCTGTATAACTTGTACACTATTTCTGTTTTTTTCTTTTTTCTCCTTACAATTATTTTCTCTTTTTCCTTTTTATCGAATAAAATTAAAAACAAAAAAGAAAGAAAGAAAGAAAACAGAACTTCCAAAGGGAGAGAAGAGGAATGCAAAAAAGCAGGCTATAGAAAGGAAAATATACAAGAAAGGTAAAATCTGTCAAAAAAATGGAATAAGACAAGCCAAGGAAAAAACAATTTGATTAAAACAAGATTAAAAAAATATGGTGAAGGTACACCAAAGATATACAGAGAAAAAACAAACACATCCTACACCAATGGGAGAAACAAAAGCCCAGTATCAGGGTCTACAATAGTCCTCTCCAACAGCTGCATATAAGTGAGGTTCTCATGCGTGTTGGGGTCGAAGAAGCCCTTGGTGTCGTCGCCGGGGTCCGCCAGGACGCGGTTCATCTCCTCGTCAAAGTAGCCGCGCTGGTAGGCCACGCCCACAGGCACGCGGTGGCTGTGCACCGGGTCGATGATGCCACCCGTGGCGATCTGGGCCTCCAGCAGGCGGATGCCGTGGTCGCGCACGATGAGGTCCCTCTGCATGGCCTGGAAGAGCGAGATCTGCTCCCCGGAGTAGGGGTCGGTGTAGCCGGTGACGGCGCGCTCGGCAGACAGCAGCTTCTCCCGGATCTCGCCGCCCACCACGCCCTCGGCCACGGCCTCCTCCACGGACAGCTTCCGGTTGCTCACCGGGTCGATGACGAAGCCGGTGGCCGCCTGTGCCTCCAGGAGCACCAGGGCCGTGCCGGGCCGCAGCAGCCCCTTCCACATGGCCTGGTAGATGCTCATCTTCTCCTGGCGGCCCGCCTGGCCCTTGCCGGGCACCAGCACCCCCGCGATGCAGCTGGTGCCCTCCAGGTAACGCTTGACCGAGTCCATCTCCGTCACCTCCTGCAGCGTCTTGGCGCCCTGGGCCAGGTCTCGGAGGGTGTCGGGGCCCAGGATCCCGGACTTGTGCAGCTCGGACGCCGACACCCTGCGCCGCAGGCCCCGGAAGGACACGCTGCTAAGCCGTGTCTCTGTCTCCTCGATGATCCGGATGAGGATGGCCACGAGGTCGGGCAGTGCCAGGGTGCTGGCCGCGTGCTGGGCCAGGAGCTCGTCGCGGCGGGCCTCGGTCAAGTAAGAGGAGAAGAGGACGTCCCACACGGGCACCGGCTGGCCCTGGAACTGCCCCGAGCGCACCTCCATGGTGGCGGCACGGAGGGCCTGCTCCTGGCGGCGGCGGCGGGCAGCCTCAGCCTCGGTCTCGCGTGGGGATGGCTCCCCCTTGCCGGGCGAGGGCTCCCGAGACTCGGGCCGGGCCCCGTGGGACCCCTCGGCCTCCTCGATGATGGTAGTCAGCCTGCGGGTCAGCGCAGGCAAGGACAGTGCTCCTGAGCCAAACTGGGCAAGCAGTTCCTCCCGGGTGGTCCCGCTCACGTAGCTGGACGCCAGCACGTCCCACACGGGGACCGTGCGCCCCTGCAGGTGGCCCACCCGGACCTCCATGGTGGCCGCGCGTAGGGCCCCGGGCGGGGTCCCGTCGTTGGCCCGGGCCAGCAGCGAGGCCAGGGTGGCGCCCACGTCCCTCACGGTCAGCGTGCCCGCCCGGTACCGGCCCAGGAGGTCCTGGCGCAGGCTCTCGGGCACCTCGCGGTAGAAGAGGAGCTCCCAGACGGAGACGCTCTGGCCCTGGAAGTCGCCCGAGCCCGGCGTCACCCGCGCGTCTCGCAGAGCGCTGCGCAGCTCCTCGCTCAGCTGGTGCACCGCGGAGCCCTGGGCCGCCAGCTGCAGCATGTAGAGGCCGGTGTCCGGGTCGCGCACGCATCGGCGCAGCAGCTGCACGTAGGTGAGGTTCTCGTGCGTGTTGGGGTCGAAGAAGCCCTTGGTGTCGTCGCCGGGGTCCGCCAGGACGCGGTTCATCTCCTCGTCAAAGTAGCCGCGCTGGTAGGCCACGCCCACAGGCACGCGGTGGCTGTGCACCGGGTCGATGATGCCACCCGTGGCGATCTGGGCCTCCAGCAGGCGGATGCCGTGGTCGCGCACGATGAGGTCCCTCTGCATGGCCTGGAAGAGCGAGATCTGCTCCCCGGAGTAGGGGTCGGTGTAGCCGGTGACGGCGCGCTCGGCAGACAGCAGCTTCTCCCGGATCTCGCCGCCCACCACGCCCTCGGCCACGGCCTCCTCCACGGACAGCTTCCGGTTGCTCACCGGGTCGATGACGAAGCCGGTGGCCGCCTGTGCCTCCAGGAGCACCAGGGCTGTGCCGGGCCGCAGCAGCCCCTTCCACATGGCCTGGTAGATGCTCATCTTCTCCTGGCGGCCCGCCTGGCCCTTGCCGGGCACCAGCACCCCCGCGATGCAGCTGGTGCCCTCCAGGTAACGCTTGACCGAGTCCATCTCCGTCACCTCCTGCAGCGTCTTGGCGCCCTGGGCCAGGTCTCGGAGGGTGTCGGGGCCCAGGATCCCGGACTTGTGCAGCTCGGACGCCGACACCCTGCGCCGCAGGCCCCGGAAGGACACGCTGCTAAGCCGTGTCTCTGTCTCCTCGATGATCCGGATGAGGATGGCCACGAGGTCGGGCAGTGCCAGGGTGCCGGCCGCGTGCTGGGCCAGGAGCTCGTCGCGGCGGGCCTCGGTCAAGTAAGAGGAGAAGAGGACGTCCCACACGGGCACCGGCTGGCCCTGGAACTGCCCCGAGCGCACCTCCATGGTGGCGGCACGGAGGGCCTGCTCCTGGCGGCGGCGGCGGGCAGCCTCAGCCTCGGTCTCGCGTGGGGATGGCTCCCCCTTGCCGGGCGAGGGCTCCCGAGACTCGGGCCGGGCCCCGTGGGGCCCCTCGGCCTCCTCGATGATGGTAGTCAGCCTGCGGGTCAGCGCAGGCAAGGACAGTGCTCCTGAGCCAAACTGGGCAAGCAGTTCCTCCCGGGTGGTCCCGCTCACGTAGCTGGACGCCAGCACGTCCCACACGGGGACCGTGCGCCCCTGCAGGTGGCCCACCCGGACCTCCATGGTGGCCGCGCGTAGGGCCCCGGGCGGGGTCCCGTCGTTGGCCCGGGCCAGCAGCGAGGCCAGGGTGGCGCCCACGTCCCTCACGGTCAGCGTGCCCGCCCGGTACCGGCCCAGGAGGTCCTGGCGCAGGCTCTCGGGCACCTCGCGGTAGAAGAGGAGCTCCCAGACGGAGACGCTCTGGCCCTGGAAGTCGCCCGAGCCCGGCGTCACCCGCGCGTCTCGCAGAGCGCTGCGCAGCTCCTCGCTCAGCTGGTGCACCGCGGAGCCCTGGGCCGCCAGCTGCAGCATGTAGAGGCCGGTGTCCGGGTCGCGCACGCATCGGCGCAGCAGCTGCACGTAGGTGAGGTTCTCGTGCGTGTTGGGGTCGAAGAAGCCCTTGGTGTCGTCGCCGGGGTCCGCCAGGACGCGGTTCATCTCCTCGTCAAAGTAGCCGCGCTGGTAGGCCACGCCCACAGGCACGCGGTGGCTGTGCACCGGGTCGATGATGCCACCCGTGGCGATCTGGGCCTCCAGCAGGCGGATGCCGTGGTCGCGCACGATGAGGTCCCTCTGCATGGCCTGGAAGAGCGAGATCTGCTCCCCGGAGTAGGGGTCGGTGTAGCCGGTGACGGCGCGCTCGGCAGACAGCAGCTTCTCCCGGATCTCGCCGCCCACCACGCCCTCGGCCACGGCCTCCTCCACGGACAGCTTCCGGTTGCTCACCGGGTCGATGACGAAGCCGGTGGCCGCCTGTGCCTCCAGGAGCACCAGGGCTGTGCCGGGCCGCAGCAGCCCCTTCCACATGGCCTGGTAGATGCTCATCTTCTCCTGGCGGCCCGCCTGGCCCTTGCCGGGCACCAGCACCCCCGCGATGCAGCTGGTGCCCTCCAGGTAACGCTTGACCGAGTCCATCTCCGTCACCTCCTGCAGCGTCTTGGCGCCCTGGGCCAGGTCTCGGAGGGTGTCGGGGCCCAGGATCCCGGACTTGTGCAGCTCGGACGCCGACACCCTGCGCCGCAGGCCCCGGAAGGACACGCTGCTAAGCCGTGTCTCTGTCTCCTCGATGATCCGGATGAGGATGGCCACGAGGTCGGGCAGTGCCAGGGTGCCGGCCGCGTGCTGGGCCAGGAGCTCGTCGCGGCGGGCCTCGGTCAAGTAAGAGGAGAAGAGGACGTCCCACACGGGCACCGGCTGGCCCTGGAACTGCCCCGAGCGCACCTCCATGGTGGCGGCACGGAGGGCCTGCTCCTGGCGGCGGCGGCGGGCAGCCTCAGCCTCGGTCTCGCGTGGGGATGGCTCCCCCTTGCCGGGCGAGGGCTCCCGAGACTCGGGCCGGGCCCCGTGGGGCCCCTCGGCCTCCTCGATGATGGTAGTCAGCCTGCGGGTCAGCGCAGGCAAGGACAGTGCTCCTGAGCCAAACTGGGCAAGCAGTTCCTCCCGGGTGGTCCCGCTCACGTAGCTGGACGCCAGCACGTCCCACACGGGGACCGTGCGCCCCTGCAGGTGGCCCACCCGGACCTCCATGGTGGCCGCGCGTAGGGCCCCGGGCGGGGTCCCGTCGTTGGCCCGGGCCAGCAGCGAGGCCAGGGTGGCGCCCACGTCCCTCACGGTCAGCGTGCCCGCCCGGTACCGGCCCAGGAGGTCCTGGCGCAGGCTCTCGGGCACCTCGCGGTAGAAGAGGAGCTCCCAGACGGAGACGCTCTGGCCCTGGAAGTCGCCCGAGCCCGGCGTCACCCGCGCGTCTCGCAGAGCGCTGCGCAGCTCCTCGCTCAGCTGGTGCACCGCGGAGCCCTGGGCCGCCAGCTGCAGCATGTAGAGGCCGGTGTCCGGGTCGCGCACGCATCGGCGCAGCAGCTGCACGTAGGTGAGGTTCTCGTGCGTGTTGGGGTCGAAGAAGCCCTTGGTGTCGTCGCCGGGGTCCGCCAGGACGCGGTTCATCTCCTCGTCAAAGTAGCCGCGCTGGTAGGCCACGCCCACAGGCACGCGGTGGCTGTGCACCGGGTCGATGATGCCACCCGTGGCGATCTGGGCCTCCAGCAGGCGGATGCCGTGGTCGCGCACGATGAGGTCCCTCTGCATGGCCTGGAAGAGCGAGATCTGCTCCCCGGAGTAGGGGTCGGTGTAGCCGGTGACGGCGCGCTCGGCAGACAGCAGCTTCTCCCGGATCTCGCCGCCCACCACGCCCTCGGCCACGGCCTCCTCCACGGACAGCTTCCGGTTGCTCACCGGGTCGATGACGAAGCCGGTGGCCGCCTGTGCCTCCAGGAGCACCAGGGCTGTGCCGGGCCGCAGCAGCCCCTTCCACATGGCCTGGTAGATGCTCATCTTCTCCTGGCGGCCCGCCTGGCCCTTGCCGGGCACCAGCACCCCCGCGATGCAGCTGGTGCCCTCCAGGTAACGCTTGACCGAGTCCATCTCCGTCACCTCCTGCAGCGTCTTGGCGCCCTGGGCCAGGTCTCGGAGGGTGTCGGGGCCCAGGATCCCGGACTTGTGCAGCTCGGACGCCGACACCCTGCGCCGCAGGCCCCGGAAGGACACGCTGCTAAGCCGTGTCTCTGTCTCCTCGATGATCCGGATGAGGATGGCCACGAGGTCGGGCAGTGCCAGGGTGCCGGCCGCGTGCTGGGCCAGGAGCTCGTCGCGGCGGGCCTCGGTCAAGTAAGAGGAGAAGAGGACGTCCCACACGGGCACCGGCTGGCCCTGGAACTGCCCCGAGCGCACCTCCATGGTGGCGGCACGGAGGGCCTGCTCCTGGCGGCGGCGGCGGGCAGCCTCAGCCTCGGTCTCGCGTGGGGATGGCTCCCCCTTGCCGGGCGAGGGCTCCCGAGACTCGGGCCGGGCCCCGTGGGGCCCCTCGGCCTCCTCGATGATGGTAGTCAGCCTGCGGGTCAGCGCAGGCAAGGACAGTGCTCCTGAGCCAAACTGGGCAAGCAGTTCCTCCCGGGTGGTCCCGCTCACGTAGCTGGACGCCAGCACGTCCCACACGGGGACCGTGCGCCCCTGCAGGTGGCCCACCCGGACCTCCATGGTGGCCGCGCGTAGGGCCCCGGGCGGGGTCCCGTCGTTGGCCCGGGCCAGCAGCGAGGCCAGGGTGGCGCCCACGTCCCTCACGGTCAGCGTGCCCGCCCGGTACCGGCCCAGGAGGTCCTGGCGCAGGCTCTCGGGCACCTCGCGGTAGAAGAGGAGCTCCCAGACGGAGACGCTCTGGCCCTGGAAGTCGCCCGAGCCCGGCGTCACCCGCGCGTCTCGCAGAGCGCTGCGCAGCTCCTCGCTCAGCTGGTGCACCGCGGAGCCCTGGGCCGCCAGCTGCAGCATGTAGAGGCCGGTGTCCGGGTCGCGCACGCATCGGCGCAGCAGCTGCACGTAGGTGAGGTTCTCGTGCGTGTTGGGGTCGAAGAAGCCCTTGGTGTCGTCGCCGGGGTCCGCCAGGACGCGGTTCATCTCCTCGTCAAAGTAGCCGCGCTGGTAGGCCACGCCCACAGGCACGCGGTGGCTGTGCACCGGGTCGATGATGCCACCCGTGGCGATCTGGGCCTCCAGCAGGCGGATGCCGTGGTCGCGCACGATGAGGTCCCTCTGCATGGCCTGGAAGAGCGAGATCTGCTCCCCGGAGTAGGGGTCGGTGTAGCCGGTGACGGCGCGCTCGGCAGACAGCAGCTTCTCCCGGATCTCGCCGCCCACCACGCCCTCGGCCACGGCCTCCTCCACGGACAGCTTCCGGTTGCTCACCGGGTCGATGACGAAGCCGGTGGCCGCCTGTGCCTCCAGGAGCACCAGGGCCGTGCCGGGCCGCAGCAGCCCCTTCCACATGGCCTGGTAGATGCTCATCTTCTCCTGGCGGCCCGCCTGGCCCTTGCCGGGCACCAGCACCCCCGCGATGCAGCTGGTGCCCTCCAGGTAACGCTTGACCGAGTCCATCTCCGTCACCTCCTGCAGCGTCTTGGCGCCCTGGGCCAGGTCTCGGAGGGTGTCGGGGCCCAGGATCCCGGACTTGTGCAGCTCGGACGCCGACACCCTGCGCCGCAGGCCCCGGAAGGACACGCTGCTAAGCCGTGTCTCTGTCTCCTCGATGATCCGGATGAGGATGGCCACGAGGTCGGGCAGTGCCAGGGTGCCGGCCGCGTGCTGGGCCAGGAGCTCGTCGCGGCGGGCCTCGGTCAAGTAAGAGGAGAAGAGGACGTCCCACACGGGCACCGGCTGGCCCTGGAACTGCCCCGAGCGCACCTCCATGGTGGCGGCACGGAGGGCCTGCTCCTGGCGGCGGCGGCGGGCAGCCTCAGCCTCGGTCTCGCGTGGGGATGGCTCCCCCTTGCCGGGCGAGGGCTCCCGAGACTCGGGCCGGGCCCCGTGGGACCCCTCGGCCTCCTCGATGATGGTAGTCAGCCTGCGGGTCAGCGCAGGCAAGGACAGTGCTCCTGAGCCAAACTGGGCAAGCAGTTCCTCCCGGGTGGTCCCGCTCACGTAGCTGGACGCCAGCACGTCCCACACGGGGACCGTGCGCCCCTGCAGGTGGCCCACCCGGACCTCCATGGTGGCCGCGCGTAGGGCCCCGGGCGGGGTCCCGTCGTTGGCCCGGGCCAGCAGCGAGGCCAGGGTGGCGCCCACGTCCCTCACGGTCAGCGTGCCCGCCCGGTACCGGCCCAGGAGGTCCTGGCGCAGGCTCTCGGGCACCTCGCGGTAGAAGAGGAGCTCCCAGACGGAGACGCTCTGGCCCTGGAAGTCGCCCGAGCCCGGCGTCACCCGCGCGTCTCGCAGAGCGCTGCGCAGCTCCTCGCTCAGCTGGTGCACCGCGGAGCCCTGGGCCGCCAGCTGCAGCATGTAGAGGCCGGTGTCCGGGTCGCGCACGCATCGGCGCAGCAGCTGCACGTAGGTGAGGTTCTCGTGCGTGTTGGGGTCGAAGAAGCCCTTGGTGTCGTCGCCGGGGTCCGCCAGGACGCGGTTCATCTCCTCGTCAAAGTAGCCGCGCTGGTAGGCCACGCCCACAGGCACGCGGTGGCTGTGCACCGGGTCGATGATGCCACCCGTGGCGATCTGGGCCTCCAGCAGGCGGATGCCGTGGTCGCGCACGATGAGGTCCCTCTGCATGGCCTGGAAGAGCGAGATCTGCTCCCCGGAGTAGGGGTCGGTGTAGCCGGTGACGGCGCGCTCGGCAGACAGCAGCTTCTCCCGGATCTCGCCGCCCACCACGCCCTCGGCCACGGCCTCCTCCACGGACAGCTTCCGGTTGCTCACCGGGTCGATGACGAAGCCGGTGGCCGCCTGTGCCTCCAGGAGCACCAGGGCCGTGCCGGGCCGCAGCAGCCCCTTCCACATGGCCTGGTAGATGCTCATCTTCTCCTGGCGGCCCGCCTGGCCCTTGCCGGGCACCAGCACCCCCGCGATGCAGCTGGTGCCCTCCAGGTAACGCTTGACCGAGTCCATCTCCGTCACCTCCTGCAGCGTCTTGGCGCCCTGGGCCAGGTCTCGGAGGGTGTCGGGGCCCAGGATCCCGGACTTGTGCAGCTCGGACGCCGACACCCTGCGCCGCAGGCCCCGGAAGGACACGCTGCTAAGCCGTGTCTCTGTCTCCTCGATGATCCGGATGAGGATGGCCACGAGGTCGGGCAGTGCCAGGGTGCCGGCCGCGTGCTGGGCCAGGAGCTCGTCGCGGCGGGCCTCGGTCAAGTAAGAGGAGAAGAGGACGTCCCACACGGGCACCGGCTGGCCCTGGAACTGCCCCGAGCGCACCTCCATGGTGGCGGCACGGAGGGCCTGCTCCTGGCGGCGGCGGCGGGCAGCCTCAGCCTCGGTCTCGCGTGGGGATGGCTCCCCCTTGCCGGGCGAGGGCTCCCGAGACTCGGGCCGGGCCCCGTGGGGCCCCTCGGCCTCCTCGATGATGGTAGTCAGCCTGCGGGTCAGCGCAGGCAAGGACAGTGCTCCTGAGCCAAACTGGGCAAGCAGTTCCTCCCGGGTGGTCCCGCTCACGTAGCTGGACGCCAGCACGTCCCACACGGGGACCGTGCGCCCCTGCAGGTGGCCCACCCGGACCTCCATGGTGGCCGCGCGTAGGGCCCCGGGCGGGGTCCCGTCGTTGGCCCGGGCCAGCAGCGAGGCCAGGGTGGCGCCCACGTCCCTCACGGTCAGCGTGCCCGCCCGGTACCGGCCCAGGAGGTCCTGGCGCAGGCTCTCGGGCACCTCGCGGTAGAAGAGGAGCTCCCAGACGGAGACGCTCTGGCCCTGGAAGTCGCCCGAGCCCGGCGTCACCCGCGCGTCTCGCAGAGCGCTGCGCAGCTCCTCGCTCAGCTGGTGCACCACGGAGCCCTGGGCCGCCAGCTGCAGCATGTAGAGGCCGGTGTCCGGGTCGCGCACGCATCGGCGCAGCAGCTGCACGTAGGTGAGGTTCTCGTGCGTGTTGGGGTCGAAGAAGCCCTTGGTGTCGTCGCCGGGGTCCGCCAGGACGCGGTTCATCTCCTCGTCAAAGTAGCCGCGCTGGTAGGCCACGCCCACAGGCACGCGGTGGCTGTGCACCGGGTCGATGATGCCACCCGTGGCGATCTGGGCCTCCAGCAGGCGGATGCCGTGGTCGCGCACGATGAGGTCCCTCTGCATGGCCTGGAAGAGCGAGATCTGCTCCCCGGAGTAGGGGTCGGTGTAGCCGGTGACGGCGCGCTCGGCAGACAGCAGCTTCTCCCGGATCTCGCCGCCCACCACGCCCTCGGCCACGGCCTCCTCCACGGACAGCTTCCGGTTGCTCACCGGGTCGATGACGAAGCCGGTGGCCGCCTGTGCCTCCAGGAGCACCAGGGCCGTGCCGGGCCGCAGCAGCCCCTTCCACATGGCCTGGTAGATGCTCATCTTCTCCTGGCGGCCCGCCTGGCCCTTGCCGGGCACCAGCACCCCCGCGATGCAGCTGGTGCCCTCCAGGTAACGCTTGACCGAGTCCATCTCCGTCACCTCCTGCAGCGTCTTGGCGCCCTGGGCCAGGTCTCGGAGGGTGTCGGGGCCCAGGATCCCGGACTTGTGCAGCTCGGACGCCGACACCCTGCGCCGCAGGCCCCGGAAGGACACGCTGCTAAGCCGTGTCTCTGTCTCCTCGATGATCCGGATGAGGATGGCCACGAGGTCGGGCAGTGCCAGGGTGCCGGCCGCGTGCTGGGCCAGGAGCTCGTCGCGGCGGGCCTCGGTCAAGTAAGAGGAGAAGAGGACGTCCCACACGGGCACCGGCTGGCCCTGGAACTGCCCCGAGCGCACCTCCATGGTGGCGGCACGGAGGGCCTGCTCCTGGCGGCGGCGGCGGGCAGCCTCAGCCTCGGTCTCGCGTGGGGATGGCTCCCCCTTGCCGGGCGAGGGCTCCCGAGACTCGGGCCGGGCCCCGTGGGGCCCCTCGGCCTCCTCGATGATGGTAGTCAGCCTGCGGGTCAGCGCAGGCAAGGACAGTGCTCCTGAGCCAAACTGGGCAAGCAGTTCCTCCCGGGTGGTCCCGCTCACGTAGCTGGACGCCAGCACGTCCCACACGGGGACCGTGCGCCCCTGCAGGTGGCCCACCCGGACCTCCATGGTGGCCGCGCGTAGGGCCCCGGGCGGGGTCCCGTCGTTGGCCCGGGCCAGCAGCGAGGCCAGGGTGGCGCCCACGTCCCTCACGGTCAGCGTGCCCGCCCGGTACCGGCCCAGGAGGTCCTGGCGCAGGCTCTCGGGCACCTCGCGGTAGAAGAGGAGCTCCCAGACGGAGACGCTCTGGCCCTGGAAGTCGCCCGAGCCCGGCGTCACCCGCGCGTCTCGCAGAGCGCTGCGCAGCTCCTCGCTCAGCTGGTGCACCGCGGAGCCCTGGGCCGCCAGCTGCAGCATGTAGAGGCCGGTGTCCGGGTCGCGCACGCATCGGCGCAGCAGCTGCACGTAGGTGAGGTTCTCGTGCGTGTTGGGGTCGAAGAAGCCCTTGGTGTCGTCGCCGGGGTCCGCCAGGACGCGGTTCATCTCCTCGTCAAAGTAGCCGCGCTGGTAGGCCACGCCCACAGGCACGCGGTGGCTGTGCACCGGGTCGATGATGCCACCCGTGGCGATCTGGGCCTCCAGCAGGCGGATGCCGTGGTCGCGCACGATGAGGTCCCTCTGCATGGCCTGGAAGAGCGAGATCTGCTCCCCGGAGTAGGGGTCGGTGTAGCCGGTGACGGCGCGCTCGGCAGACAGCAGCTTCTCCCGGATCTCGCCGCCCACCACGCCCTCGGCCACGGCCTCCTCCACGGACAGCTTCCGGTTGCTCACCGGGTCGATGACGAAGCCGGTGGCCGCCTGTGCCTCCAGGAGCACCAGGGCCGTGCCGGGCCGCAGCAGCCCCTTCCACATGGCCTGGTAGATGCTCATCTTCTCCTGGCGGCCCGCCTGGCCCTTGCCGGGCACCAGCACCCCCGCGATGCAGCTGGTGCCCTCCAGGTAACGCTTGACCGAGTCCATCTCCGTCACCTCCTGCAGCGTCTTGGCGCCCTGGGCCAGGTCTCGGAGGGTGTCGGGGCCCAGGATCCCGGACTTGTGCAGCTCGGACGCCGACACCCTGCGCCGCAGGCCCCGGAAGGACACGCTGCTAAGCCGTGTCTCTGTCTCCTCGATGATCCGGATGAGGATGGCCACGAGGTCGGGCAGTGCCAGGGTGCCGGCCGCGTGCTGGGCCAGGAGCTCGTCGCGGCGGGCCTCGGTCAAGTAAGAGGAGAAGAGGACGTCCCACACGGGCACCGGCTGGCCCTGGAACTGCCCCGAGCGCACCTCCATGGTGGCGGCACGGAGGGCCTGCTCCTGGCGGCGGCGGCGGGCAGCCTCAGCCTCGGTCTCGCGTGGGGATGGCTCCCCCTTGCCGGGCGAGGGCTCCCGAGACTCGGGCCGGGCCCCGTGGGACCCCTCGGCCTCCTCGATGATGGTAGTCAGCCTGCGGGTCAGCGCAGGCAAGGACAGTGCTCCTGAGCCAAACTGGGCAAGCAGTTCCTCCCGGGTGGTCCCGCTCACGTAGCTGGACGCCAGCACGTCCCACACGGGGACCGTGCGCCCCTGCAGGTGGCCCACCCGGACCTCCATGGTGGCCGCGCGTAGGGCCCCGGGCGGGGTCCCGTCGTTGGCCCGGGCCAGCAGCGAGGCCAGGGTGGCGCCCACGTCCCTCACGGTCAGCGTGCCCGCCCGGTACCGGCCCAGGAGGTCCTGGCGCAGGCTCTCGGGCACCTCGCGGTAGAAGAGGAGCTCCCAGACGGAGACGCTCTGGCCCTGGAAGTCGCCCGAGCCCGGCGTCACCCGCGCGTCTCGCAGAGCGCTGCGCAGCTCCTCGCTCAGCTGGTGCACCGCGGAGCCCTGGGCCGCCAGCTGCAGCATGTAGAGGCCGGTGTCCGGGTCGCGCACGCATCGGCGCAGCAGCTGCACGTAGGTGAGGTTCTCGTGCGTGTTGGGGTCGAAGAAGCCCTTGGTGTCGTCGCCGGGGTCCGCCAGGACGCGGTTCATCTCCTCGTCAAAGTAGCCGCGCTGGTAGGCCACGCCCACAGGCACGCGGTGGCTGTGCACCGGGTCGATGATGCCACCCGTGGCGATCTGGGCCTCCAGCAGGCGGATGCCGTGGTCGCGCACGATGAGGTCCCTCTGCATGGCCTGGAAGAGCGAGATCTGCTCCCCGGAGTAGGGGTCGGTGTAGCCGGTGACGGCGCGCTCGGCAGACAGCAGCTTCTCCCGGATCTCGCCGCCCACCACGCCCTCGGCCACGGCCTCCTCCACGGACAGCTTCCGGTTGCTCACCGGGTCGATGACGAAGCCGGTGGCCGCCTGTGCCTCCAGGAGCACCAGGGCCGTGCCGGGCCGCAGCAGCCCCTTCCACATGGCCTGGTAGATGCTCATCTTCTCCTGGCGGCCCGCCTGGCCCTTGCCGGGCACCAGCACCCCCGCGATGCAGCTGGTGCCCTCCAGGTAACGCTTGACCGAGTCCATCTCCGTCACCTCCTGCAGCGTCTTGGCGCCCTGGGCCAGGTCTCGGAGGGTGTCGGGGCCCAGGATCCCGGACTTGTGCAGCTCGGACGCCGACACCCTGCGCCGCAGGCCCCGGAAGGACACGCTGCTAAGCCGTGTCTCTGTCTCCTCGATGATCCGGATGAGGATGGCCACGAGGTCGGGCAGTGCCAGGGTGCCGGCCGCGTGCTGGGCCAGGAGCTCGTCGCGGCGGGCCTCGGTCAAGTAAGAGGAGAAGAGGACGTCCCACACGGGCACCGGCTGGCCCTGGAACTGCCCCGAGCGCACCTCCATGGTGGCGGCACGGAGGGCCTGCTCCTGGCGGCGGCGGCGGGCAGCCTCAGCCTCGGTCTCGCGTGGGGATGGCTCCCCCTTGCCGGGCGAGGGCTCCCGAGACTCGGGCCGGGCCCCGTGGGGCCCCTCGGCCTCCTCGATGATGGTAGTCAGCCTGCGGGTCAGCGCAGGCAAGGACAGTGCTCCTGAGCCAAACTGGGCAAGCAGTTCCTCCCGGGTGGTCCCGCTCACGTAGCTGGACGCCAGCACGTCCCACACGGGGACCGTGCGCCCCTGCAGGTGGCCCACCCGGACCTCCATGGTGGCCGCGCGTAGGGCCCCGGGCGGGGTCCCGTCGTTGGCCCGGGCCAGCAGCGAGGCCAGGGTGGCGCCCACGTCCCTCACGGTCAGCGTGCCCGCCCGGTACCGGCCCAGGAGGTCCTGGCGCAGGCTCTCGGGCACCTCGCGGTAGAAGAGGAGCTCCCAGACGGAGACGCTCTGGCCCTGGAAGTCGCCCGAGCCCGGCGTCACCCGCGCGTCTCGCAGAGCGCTGCGCAGCTCCTCGCTCAGCTGGTGCACCGCGGAGCCCTGGGCCGCCAGCTGCAGCATGTAGAGGCCGGTGTCCGGGTCGCGCACGCATCGGCGCAGCAGCTGCACGTAGGTGAGGTTCTCGTGCGTGTTGGGGTCGAAGAAGCCCTTGGTGTCGTCGCCGGGGTCCGCCAGGACGCGGTTCATCTCCTCGTCAAAGTAGCCGCGCTGGTAGGCCACGCCCACAGGCACGCGGTGGCTGTGCACCGGGTCGATGATGCCACCCGTGGCGATCTGGGCCTCCAGCAGGCGGATGCCGTGGTCGCGCACGATGAGGTCCCTCTGCATGGCCTGGAAGAGCGAGATCTGCTCCCCGGAGTAGGGGTCGGTGTAGCCGGTGACGGCGCGCTCGGCAGACAGCAGCTTCTCCCGGATCTCGCCGCCCACCACGCCCTCGGCCACGGCCTCCTCCACGGACAGCTTCCGGTTGCTCACCGGGTCGATGACGAAGCCGGTGGCCGCCTGTGCCTCCAGGAGCACCAGGGCCGTGCCGGGCCGCAGCAGCCCCTTCCACATGGCCTGGTAGATGCTCATCTTCTCCTGGCGGCCCGCCTGGCCCTTGCCGGGCACCAGCACCCCCGCGATGCAGCTGGTGCCCTCCAGGTAACGCTTGACCGAGTCCATCTCCGTCACCTCCTGCAGCGTCTTGGCGCCCTGGGCCAGGTCTCGGAGGGTGTCGGGGCCCAGGATCCCGGACTTGTGCAGCTCGGACGCCGACACCCTGCGCCGCAGGCCCCGGAAGGACACGCTGCTAAGCCGTGTCTCTGTCTCCTCGATGATCCGGATGAGGATGGCCACGAGGTCGGGCAGTGCCAGGGTGCCGGCCGCGTGCTGGGCCAGGAGCTCGTCGCGGCGGGCCTCGGTCAAGTAAGAGGAGAAGAGGACGTCCCACACGGGCACCGGCTGGCCCTGGAACTGCCCCGAGCGCACCTCCATGGTGGCGGCACGGAGGGCCTGCTCCTGGCGGCGGCGGCGGGCAGCCTCAGCCTCGGTCTCGCGTGGGGATGGCTCCCCCTTGCCGGGCGAGGGCTCCCGAGACTCGGGCCGGGCCCCGTGGGGCCCCTCGGCCTCCTCGATGATGGTAGTCAGCCTGCGGGTCAGCGCAGGCAAGGACAGTGCTCCTGAGCCAAACTGGGCAAGCAGTTCCTCCCGGGTGGTCCCGCTCACGTAGCTGGACGCCAGCACGTCCCACACGGGGACCGTGCGCCCCTGCAGGTGGCCCACCCGGACCTCCATGGTGGCCGCGCGTAGGGCCCCGGGCGGGGTCCCGTCGTTGGCCCGGGCCAGCAGCGAGGCCAGGGTGGCGCCCACGTCCCTCACGGTCAGCGTGCCCGCCCGGTACCGGCCCAGGAGGTCCTGGCGCAGGCTCTCGGGCACCTCGCGGTAGAAGAGGAGCTCCCAGACGGAGACGCTCTGGCCCTGGAAGTCGCCCGAGCCCGGCGTCACCCGCGCGTCTCGCAGAGCGCTGCGCAGCTCCTCGCTCAGCTGGTGCACCGCGGAGCCCTGGGCCGCCAGCTGCAGCATGTAGAGGCCGGTGTCCGGGTCGCGCACGCATCGGCGCAGCAGCTGCACGTAGGTGAGGTTCTCGTGCGTGTTGGGGTCGAAGAAGCCCTTGGTGTCGTCGCCGGGGTCCGCCAGGACGCGGTTCATCTCCTCGTCAAAGTAGCCGCGCTGGTAGGCCACGCCCACAGGCACGCGGTGGCTGTGCACCGGGTCGATGATGCCACCCGTGGCGATCTGGGCCTCCAGCAGGCGGATGCCGTGGTCGCGCACGATGAGGTCCCTCTGCATGGCCTGGAAGAGCGAGATCTGCTCCCCGGAGTAGGGGTCGGTGTAGCCGGTGACGGCGCGCTCGGCAGACAGCAGCTTCTCCCGGATCTCGCCGCCCACCACGCCCTCGGCCACGGCCTCCTCCACGGACAGCTTCCGGTTGCTCACCGGGTCGATGACGAAGCCGGTGGCCGCCTGTGCCTCCAGGAGCACCAGGGCCGTGCCGGGCCGCAGCAGCCCCTTCCACATGGCCTGGTAGATGCTCATCTTCTCCTGGCGGCCCGCCTGGCCCTTGCCGGGCACCAGCACCCCCGCGATGCAGCTGGTGCCCTCCAGGTAACGCTTGACCGAGTCCATCTCCGTCACCTCCTGCAGCGTCTTGGCGCCCTGGGCCAGGTCTCGGAGGGTGTCGGGGCCCAGGATCCCGGACTTGTGCAGCTCGGACGCCGACACCCTGCGCCGCAGGCCCCGGAAGGACACGCTGCTAAGCCGTGTCTCTGTCTCCTCGATGATCCGGATGAGGATGGCCACGAGGTCGGGCAGTGCCAGGGTGCCGGCCGCGTGCTGGGCCAGGAGCTCGTCGCGGCGGGCCTCGGTCAAGTAAGAGGAGAAGAGGACGTCCCACACGGGCACCGGCTGGCCCTGGAACTGCCCCGAGCGCACCTCCATGGTGGCGGCACGGAGGGCCTGCTCCTGGCGGCGGCGGCGGGCAGCCTCAGCCTCGGTCTCGCGTGGGGATGGCTCCCCCTTGCCGGGCGAGGGCTCCCGAGACTCGGGCCGGGCCCCGTGGGGCCCCTCGGCCTCCTCGATGATGGTAGTCAGCCTGCGGGTCAGCGCAGGCAAGGACAGTGCTCCTGAGCCAAACTGGGCAAGCAGTTCCTCCCGGGTGGTCCCGCTCACGTAGCTGGACGCCAGCACGTCCCACACGGGGACCGTGCGCCCCTGCAGGTGGCCCACCCGGACCTCCATGGTGGCCGCGCGTAGGGCCCCGGGCGGGGTCCCGTCGTTGGCCCGGGCCAGCAGCGAGGCCAGGGTGGCGCCCACGTCCCTCACGGTCAGCGTGCCCGCCCGGTACCGGCCCAGGAGGTCCTGGCGCAGGCTCTCGGGCACCTCGCGGTAGAAGAGGAGCTCCCAGACGGAGACGCTCTGGCCCTGGAAGTCGCCCGAGCCCGGCGTCACCCGCGCGTCTCGCAGAGCGCTGCGCAGCTCCTCGCTCAGCTGGTGCACCGCGGAGCCCTGGGCCGCCAGCTGCAGCATGTAGAGGCCGGTGTCCGGGTCGCGCACGCATCGGCGCAGCAGCTGCACGTAGGTGAGGTTCTCGTGCGTGTTGGGGTCGAAGAAGCCCTTGGTGTCGTCGCCGGGGTCCGCCAGGACGCGGTTCATCTCCTCGTCAAAGTAGCCGCGCTGGTAGGCCACGCCCACAGGCACGCGGTGGCTGTGCACCGGGTCGATGATGCCACCCGTGGCGATCTGGGCCTCCAGCAGGCGGATGCCGTGGTCGCGCACGATGAGGTCCCTCTGCATGGCCTGGAAGAGCGAGATCTGCTCCCCGGAGTAGGGGTCGGTGTAGCCGGTGACGGCGCGCTCGGCAGACAGCAGCTTCTCCCGGATCTCGCCGCCCACCACGCCCTCGGCCACGGCCTCCTCCACGGACAGCTTCCGGTTGCTCACCGGGTCGATGACGAAGCCGGTGGCCGCCTGTGCCTCCAGGAGCACCAGGGCCGTGCCGGGCCGCAGCAGCCCCTTCCACATGGCCTGGTAGATGCTCATCTTCTCCTGGCGGCCCGCCTGGCCCTTGCCGGGCACCAGCACCCCCGCGATGCAGCTGGTGCCCTCCAGGTAACGCTTGACCGAGTCCATCTCCGTCACCTCCTGCAGCGTCTTGGCGCCCTGGGCCAGGTCTCGGAGGGTGTCGGGGCCCAGGATCCCGGACTTGTGCAGCTCGGACGCCGACACCCTGCGCCGCAGGCCCCGGAAGGACACGCTGCTAAGCCGTGTCTCTGTCTCCTCGATGATCCGGATGAGGATGGCCACGAGGTCGGGCAGTGCCAGGGTGCCGGCCGCGTGCTGGGCCAGGAGCTCGTCGCGGCGGGCCTCGGTCAAGTAAGAGGAGAAGAGGACGTCCCACACGGGCACCGGCTGGCCCTGGAACTGCCCCGAGCGCACCTCCATGGTGGCGGCACGGAGGGCCTGCTCCTGGCGGCGGCGGCGGGCAGCCTCAGCCTCGGTCTCGCGTGGGGATGGCTCCCCCTTGCCGGGCGAGGGCTCCCGAGACTCGGGCCGGGCCCCGTGGGGCCCCTCGGCCTCCTCGATGATGGTAGTCAGCCTGCGGGTCAGCGCAGGCAAGGACAGTGCTCCTGAGCCAAACTGGGCAAGCAGTTCCTCCCGGGTGGTCCCGCTCACGTAGCTGGACGCCAGCACGTCCCACACGGGGACCGTGCGCCCCTGCAGGTGGCCCACCCGGACCTCCATGGTGGCCGCGCGTAGGGCCCCGGGCGGGGTCCCGTCGTTGGCCCGGGCCAGCAGCGAGGCCAGGGTGGCGCCCACGTCCCTCACGGTCAGCGTGCCCGCCCGGTACCGGCCCAGGAGGTCCTGGCGCAGGCTCTCGGGCACCTCGCGGTAGAAGAGGAGCTCCCAGACGGAGACGCTCTGGCCCTGGAAGTCGCCCGAGCCCGGCGTCACCCGCGCGTCTCGCAGAGCGCTGCGCAGCTCCTCGCTCAGCTGGTGCACCGCGGAGCCCTGGGCCGCCAGCTGCAGCATGTAGAGGCCGGTGTCCGGGTCGCGCACGCATCGGCGCAGCAGCTGCACGTAGGTGAGGTTCTCGTGCGTGTTGGGGTCGAAGAAGCCCTTGGTGTCGTCGCCGGGGTCCGCCAGGACGCGGTTCATCTCCTCGTCAAAGTAGCCGCGCTGGTAGGCCACGCCCACAGGCACGCGGTGGCTGTGCACCGGGTCGATGATGCCACCCGTGGCGATCTGGGCCTCCAGCAGGCGGATGCCGTGGTCGCGCACGATGAGGTCCCTCTGCATGGCCTGGAAGAGCGAGATCTGCTCCCCGGAGTAGGGGTCGGTGTAGCCGGTGACGGCGCGCTCGGCAGACAGCAGCTTCTCCCGGATCTCGCCGCCCACCACGCCCTCGGCCACGGCCTCCTCCACGGACAGCTTCCGGTTGCTCACCGGGTCGATGACGAAGCCGGTGGCCGCCTGTGCCTCCAGGAGCACCAGGGCCGTGCCGGGCCGCAGCAGCCCCTTCCACATGGCCTGGTAGATGCTCATCTTCTCCTGGCGGCCCGCCTGGCCCTTGCCGGGCACCAGCACCCCCGCGATGCAGCTGGTGCCCTCCAGGTATCTTTTCACCTCCTCTTTTTTTTCAATTTGTGCTATGGTACTCTTCCCTTCCTCTAGGTCTGACAATGTCTCCTTTGTGATGATTTTTGATCCATAAAGCTCCAGTGCTGTTATTTTTGTTCTGATTCCACTGAACCATAGTTGTTTTGTCTTTGTTTCCTTCTCTGCAATTATTTGTAAAATGACTTTAACTACTGTATCTAGTGCTTGTGCTGTGTTTTCTTTGTATACTCTAACTAGTTCTAGCTTTTTCTCCTCAGTTACATATTCTGAATTCAGCAACTCCCACACAGATGGCCTCTGATCCCTGTACTTACCCACCTTTATCTCTACTTTGTGTGCCTCAAAGACTCTTTTGGTTGCCTCATCAACATATGTAGCATCTTTTGCCTCCCTGATCAGCGGGAAAAGAATCCAGCCAGATTCCTCCCTCTGGCATCTATTCTGAAGCTCCTGATAGGTGACTTTGTCATGTGTGTTGGGATCCACAAACCTTTTTGTTACATGCTTTTTATCTTCAATGAGTGCATATATGTCCTTGTGCAGACATCCACGTCTGTAGGCTGTTTCCAGTGGCAGCCGATGGTGGTGCAGGGGATCCACGATGCCACCTGTGGCTACCTGCACCTCCAGCAGCCTCAGGGCCTCGTCTCTCTGGATTAGCTTTTTCTTCATGGCCATGAACAGTGGGATTATTTCCCCTGTATCTGGGTCAGTATAGCCCATTGCAGCTCTCTCTGCAGCCAGAAGCCTTTCCTGCAGTTCTCTGCTTACCAAGCCTGCTGCTACAGCCTCGTTCACACACAGTTTCTGGTGGGTGTGGGGGTCTAGCAGGAACCCAGTGGCTGCCTGAGCTTCTAGCATCTGGGCTGCGAATCCTGCAGGGATGAGCTTTTTCTTGCTGGCCTCCTCAAAGCTCAGGACCTCTTTGGTGGAGGGTAAAGTCACCCCAGCAATGCAGCCGGTGCCCTCCAGGTAGGCGTTCACATGATCCAGCTGGTGGAGGTCCTGGGATCCACTCTTCCCACTGCAAATTGCATCCAGGGTCTTCTTGTTGATGGCCCCAGAGTTGAACAGTTCTGCAGCTGTTACTTCCCCCTGAATGGCTGGTACCTTGATGACTTGGCTTTGTTTTTCTATTTCTTCGATAGTAGTGGTTATGACTGCCAGCAGTTTGTCTATGTCCATATTCTGGGTCCTGTACTCCCACACTAGCTCTTTTTTCTTTTTCTCTGTGAAGTACTGAGAGCACAAGACATCCCAGACAGACACTGTCTGACCTTTAAATCTCCCCAAATGCATTTCTACAGTTCTGGATTTCAGCATGTGCCTTGTGGCCTCATCAATGTATTTGTAGGTCTCTCCTTTCTTTACAATCTGTAACATGTATAGGCCTGTCTCAGGATCTTCTATGCAGCGCTCCAGCAGTTGCAAGTACGTGAGGTTCTCATGTGTGTTAGGGTCGAAGAAGCCCTTGGTGTCGTCACTGGAGTCCGCCAGGATTTGGTTCATTTCCTCATCAAAGTAGCCACGCTGGTAGGCCACATCCACAGGCACGCGGTGGCTGTGCACAGGGTCGATGATGCCACCCGTGGCGATCTGGGCCTCCAGCAGGCGGATGCCGTGGTCGCGCACGACGAGGTCCCTCTGCATGGCCTGGAAGAGCGAGATCTGCTCCCCAGAGTAGGGGTCGGTGTAGCCGGTGACGGCGCGCTCTGCTGACAGCAACTTTACAAAGGTATCCTTGCTGAACATCCCAGCTGTGAATGCCTCCTCCACAGTCAGCTTCTGATTCTCCACTGGGTCGATGATGAAGCCGGTGGCCGCCTGTGCTTCCAGGAGCACTAGAGCCGTGCCAGGCCGCAGGATATTCCTTCTCAAGGCCTCAGAGATGCTCATCTTCTCATTGGTATCCTGGATGAGGATGCCAGCAATGAAGTTGCCTCCTTCCAGGGACTGCTTCACACTGTCCATCTTTGTTACCTCTTCCACTGTCCTCTTCCCTTGAGTCAATTCATCCAATGTCTGCTTGTTAATCAGCTGAGATCTGAATAGGTCATTGGCAGACACCTCTTTCCGGAGTCCTCTGAAGGTGACCTTTGGGGTCTGCTTTTCTGCAGCCTCCACCAGGGCAGTGATCGCAGTGACTACCTGCCTCAGGGCTGCGGCTCGCCCAGACTGACAGAGTGCTACCAGCTCCTGGCGCTTGTCCGCATTGATGTACTCTGAGCGAAGCAGGTCCCAGAGTGACACACTGCACCCTTGGAACCTCCCCATGCTGATGGGCACTTTCATGGCCCTCAGTGCCACAGCAGTGTGTTCATCTACCTCAAGCACAATGTCCTGGGGCAATGGCAGCAGCCACAGGCCAGTGTTACTGTCCAGGACACATCGCTCCTTGAGCTGCTGATAAGTCACCTTTTCCTTAGCACTGGGGTCAAAGAAAAACTTATTGTCCTCTTTGATGGTTGTCAGTGTCTGGCTGGTCTGCTCATCTAGGACTCTAAGCCTGTTGGCCACTGCCTGGGGCAGGTGCACCCCATAAACAGGCTCCACTGCACCCCCTGTGGCCAGCTGCACCTGCAAGAGGGGAAAGCCTTCTCTCTGGGGCACAAGCCCTTTCTCCATGGCCTGCCACAGCGACAGGGAGCCCCCTGAGTAAGGATCAGCATATCCGGCCACAGCCTTCTCAGCCTGCCTGAGCTGCTCACTCAGTTCCTTGCTCACTAGGCCAGCCTTGACTGCATCTTCCACTGATAGCCTTTGGTTGGTCAGTGGGTCAATAAGGAAGCCAGATGCTATCTGGGCTTCCAAGAGCCTCTGTCCCAGGCCCCTGGGCAGTAGGCCATCTCTCATAGCCTGGGAAATGCTCACTTTGGTCCCAGAGGGCTGTAGTAGCACACCAGCCACAGAGCCAGTCCCCCAGAGGCAGGCCTTCACAGCAGGCAGCTCAGCAACTTCAGCCGGTGACTGTGTGCCCTGAGCCAGTGCCACCAGTGTCTCCTGGGTGATGATCCCTGCATCCTGCAGCCAGACAGCAGGGATCTCACCTCTTGGGCCTGGAACTGTGACATGGGTCTGGGCCAGGAGCTCTTCCCTCTGTACCTGACTGCACACAGTGGCTTGCAGTTGTGGCACAGAGGTCCTCCCGACCCGCACATCCTCCAGGAGGTCTCTGCGCTGCTCCTCAGTGAAGTGGCAGGAATTGAGCAGGTCCCAGAGAGACAAGCCATCTTTAGTTCCTGGTGTGGCCTGTAGGGTCTCCTGGATCTGAGTGTCAGTTGGCACAGCAGGAGTACTTTCTTCTAGGGGCAAGAGGTAAAAACCAGAGGCCTTATCTCGAGTACACTGCTCCAGAAGCTGGGTATAGGTGGTGTGCCCCTGACCGTCTGGCATGGGGAAGGTCTTGGGAGAGTTAGACAAGACAGCCTCCATCTCCTGGTCAATGCAACCACGTTGGATGGCCACAGACATGGGGAGGTGGTAGTGGCCCATGGGATCAATGACCCCTCCTGTGGATACCTGGGCTTCAAGGAGGCGGGTGGCCTGCTCCACAGGGATAAGGCCTTTCTTCATGGCTTGGAATAAGGATAATCTCTTCCCAGAGAAGGGGTCTCTGATGCCAGTGACAGAGTCCTCTGCCTGCTTCAGCCTGATGTATACCTCTGGCCCCACCACTCCCCTGCATACAGCCTCATCCACTGACAGGGTTTCTAGACTGCAGGGGTCTATGATGGCTCCAGTGGCTGCTTGAGCTTCCAGCAGGGCCAGCACCACACCTGGCGCCAGCAGCTTCTGTTTCATGGCTTGGTAGAGGCTGAGCCTCTGGTTGGAGGGCTGCAACAGCACTCCACCCACTGCGCCTGAGCCTTGAAGGCACTGGTGGACTCTGTCCCTGTGGAGGAGGATGTCTGGGCTGACCACCCCCTCCAGGACCTGGTCCAACAGCTCCTGGTCAATGATGTTGGCCTCTAAGAGCTGGTAGGCAGTGACTCGGCCACGCAGTGCAGGTAGTGTGATGTCAGCCCACCTCTTCATCTCTGTCTCCAGCAGCTGTGTGACCTGCTTGAGTGTAACCTTGCGCTGCCGATAGTGCTTCAGCAGCCGCCTCCTCCAATCTTCATTGAAGTACTCCGAGTTGATCAGCTCCCATGCAGAAATCCTCTGTCCTCGGAACCGTCCATACCTCACAGACAGCAGCAAATTCTGGAAGGCCTCTCTGGTGGCCCCATCCACCAGCTGGGGCTGTGTGCTGCTCAGTGGCAAGAGGTACAGTCCTGTTTCAGGATCACGCATGCAGCGCTCCAGCAGCTGTAGGTAGGTGAGGTTTTCGTGTGTGTTGGGATCAAAGAAGCCCTTGGTGTCATCAGATGGGTCCGACAAGACTGCATTTAGCATTTGGTCAAAGTAGCCACGCTGGTAGGCCACATCCACAGGCACACGGTGGCTGTGCACAGGGTCAATGATACCACCTGTGGCGATCTGTGCCTCCAGGAGGCGGATGGCATGGTCATGCACAATGAGGTCCTTCTGCATGGCCTGAAAAAGAGAGATCTGTTCCCCAGAGTAGGGGTCAGTATAGCCAGTGATGGCGCGCTCAGCTGACAGCAGCTTTGCATACACATCAGGACCAATGACATCAGCCCTGAGAGCCTCCTCCACGGAGTATCTCTTGTTTCCCTTTGGGTCAATGATGAAGCCTGTGGCAGCCTGGGCCTCAAGGAGGATGAGAGCAGTACCTGGCCTGAGAAGCCTCTTGCTGCAGGCCTCATAGATGCTGAGGCGCTCCTGAGATTCAGGCAGTAGCAGGCCAGCAATGCAGCCTGTGCCCTGCAGGTACCTCTGCACTGAGTCCAGGCTACACACATCCTTAGCTGAGGCCTGCCCACATTCCAGCTTCTCGTACAGCTCTTGGTCAATTATCTCAGCTCTTAGCAGCTCTCCTGGTGTCACAGTGTTCCTCAGTCCAGCAAAAGTAACTCTGGTAGCTGCAGCCTGCTCAATGGTGGCCTTCAGCTGAGCTTCCAGCTCCTCTATTGAGAGAGTCCCTTCCTGGTACTGCTGGGTCAGTAGTGCCCTCCGCTCCACAGGGACTGCCTCAGAGAAGAGCAGCTCCCAAAGGGACACGGGCCGGCCCTGGAACTTTCTCACAGAGATAGAAGCTGTAGCTGCACTCAAAGCTTGTCGAGTACGTTGTTCAATGAACATGGGTCCCTGGAGCACTTCTCCATGGGGCTCCCTGAAAAGTGGTATAAAGGCAAGCCCTGTCTCCGGGTCAGTGACGCAGCAGGCCAACAGCTGCTCATAGCTCACACTGCCATGGGTTCTGGGGTCTGAGAAGCCTGCAGCCTGGGAGAGATGTTGCTGAGTCTCTTCATCCAGGTAGCCAAGGCGTAAGGCCGCTTTTAGGGGCAGCCGGAACCTACGGGCTGGGCAGACCAGTCCACCTGTGGCCAGCTGGGCATCCAGAAGGCGCAGAGCCAGTACCTGATCCACCAGCTCCTTCTTCATGGCCTGAAAGAGGGGGATCCAGGAGCTACTTAAAGGGTCATAGTACCCAGTCACTGCCTGCTCTGCCACCAGGAGCTGCTTGTGAAGTTCTGGGCCAACCAAGCCCACCCTGACTGCCTCATCCACCCACAGCCGTTGGCCTGTGGCTGGGTCCACCAGGGTACGGGTAGCAGCTTGAGACTCCAGGAGTGGGAGTGCAGTGCCCATTGGAAGCAGGTGTTCAGTGGTGGCCTGAAAGAAGCTCTTCTTGTGGCCTTCAGGCAGTAGGACGATGCCCGCCACACTGCTGGTGCCCTCCAGGTAGCGCTGCACCTCAGGGCGCATGCTCACATCTGATATGGCCAGTGTGCCCTCCTGCAAGCCCTGGACTACCTCCTTGTCTAGGACACCCACTTCTAGCAGCTCAGCAACATTGGCTGCCCCTGCCAGGGTATGGAAGGTGGTCTTGAGGGATAGCAAAGCCAACCCTGACCCAGGAGCCTGCACACACCTGGCTAGCAGGGTACTGTACAGCAGTTGCTCCTTGGTGTTGGGGTCAAGAAAACCCGAGGCATCTGTGCTAGGCTCCAGCTTGGACAAACTAAGCCATGTTTCCTGGTCCAGGAGGCCCTGCTGGCAGGCAAGCTCAGGGGCCACTCGCACGCCCCGAGCAGGGTCCACCAGGCCCCCAGTGGCCAGCTGGGCCTCTAGCCATCTGCACCCAAGAGTCCATTCCACAACTTTCTTCCCCATAGCTTGGAAGAGGGCCAGCTTCTCACCCCCATAGGGGTCAGGATAACCAGTGACTGCACGTTCAGCAGCCAGTAGCTTCTCCTTCAGCTCTAGCCCTACCAGGCCCTGCTGCAGGGCCTTGGACACAGGGAGCAGTTGGCCCTGGGCAGGGTCCACAAGGCCCCCCGTGGCTGCCTGAGCCTCCAACAGAGCCAGCCCAAATACAGCAGGCAGGAGACCCTGCTTTGTGGCAGCATAGATACTCTGGGTCTGCCCTGAGGCCTCCACGTACACTCCAGCAATGCTCTTGGCTTTGGTGAACAGAGGTGTCTCCACTTGGCCTCTGGGGGTGCTGGTTTCTAGCCCAGCCTTCATGTTTTTGGTGACCATTGCCTGCTTAGTGCTGCTGGTGACCAGGACATCATGAGGAGGAGCCTGGCCATTCATTGCACACAGCTGCTTGTACAGAACTTGCCCAAGTTCCACTGTTTCCTGTAGGAGACAGAAAGTCTCAGTCAGGGACCCTGAACCATCAGGCAGAGAAGACACAGTTGTGAGGTCAACTCCATATCCTCCTCAGCTGAAGCCTGGAGTGGTGCCACGTTAGTGGAAGGCCCAGATACAGCTTGCCTCCTGGGATTGGGGTGGGGGGTGGGGGGAGCTTCTCTATGGGAGAGGAGTTCTCCCTGTCCCATAGGTCACCTGTGGAGGGTGACAGATGTACTTACCAAGCTCAGTATATTTAAGGTACAGTGTGCCCACAGGGACCAAGGACTGGCCACCTATCAGGGCTCAAGGTCTCTGTTTCCTCTTATGAATGGTCCTCTGACCTCTACTCCTGGACCCCAAGGTCCTGAGGCAAAGAAGTGAGCTCCTTCCTGGGCCTCTCACTGCCCCTACCTCTGCTGAGGGCTCAGTCTGCCCTGTGAGCCCTGCTATGGCCCCTCTGCTCCTCTGTCATGGGGACCCCAGTATCTGCAGACACATGTCCTCCTCCCGCCCCTACCTGTCCCTGGTTATGTGATTCCAAACCAACTCCACAAGTTCCACCTGTCCCTGATTCTCTTGGCTCCAACAACTATGGCTGCCCAGATCCATCCGCTTCTGAATTGGGTTGGACTGATTGCTCAAAAAAGCTATGTCAGTGTCCTAACCTACAGTACCTGTAAAGAGTGTGACCTTATTTGGAAACAGGATGTCTGCAGACTTATGATGAGGTCACACTGAAAGTATCTGGCCCTAGTCCAGGATACCCGGTGTCCTTATAAGAAGACAGACACACAGGAGAAAATAGCAGGGTGACAGCTTGAGGACGCTAGGAGCTCGGAGGGGCAGGTGGAGCCCTCCCCTGGAAGCCTGTGCAGGGAATGTGTCCTCCCACACCTTGATCACAAACCTCTAGCCTGTGTTGTTTTTGGCTCCAGTCTGGGCCACTGTAAACCCGGCCCCCACCCTGTGCTCACCTGCCCTGGTTACCAGACCTGTACCCCGTGTCCTCAGAACCATACCCTGGCCCCTCTATTGCTCCTACCCCCAGCACTATTGGACCCTTCCCTCTGCTCAGAAGCCCATCCAGGACACCGTAGGCCCATTCCCACCTTGCAAGCTTTGAGGGGTTGGCCCCACCTATGCTGACCTCACTGTCCAACTCCAACAAATGCACTTTGGACCTGACTTGGGGACATGAGGACTGTTGCCTGGGTGATAGGATTCTGCTTGCTTCTCCACTTAACAATAAAAATCAGAAAGCTCCTCAGACTGCCTTTGGATTCTAAAATCTACAGCTTGGCCCAGCAGACTGCTCAGTGCTGCTGGTGACCAGGGCATCAAAAGGAGAGGGGGGCTCCATCTGGCAGTCTTGGGTACCCACACCCACACTCACAGTCTGGCCCTGGATGGTATTAGCATTCTCCCCACAGCTAGTCTGGGGGGCACCACTCCACACTGATACACTCCACTCACTCGTGCCCTCCTGGCACCTCATTGGCACCCTTCCTGCTCCTGCTGCTTGGGCCTCTACATCACATGGTATAGAAGCCTTCTGACCATTACCAGCCACCTCAGGCGGTCTCTGCCCTCCCAGGACCATGTGTGTAAGGAGCAAGTGAATGGTGGGGAGTGGGCTTGAGGGAAAGATGGGTTATCGCCCAGTCCATGATAAACCAGGGCTTTGAGGTCACATTGCCTAGTGGGTGGGCAGATGTTACCTAGCTGAGGAAGGGCTATGGGTGCACAGCTCCACTGCTCCCCTGAAGGGACCACCTCAGCCCAAGGTACTCCCTTCCCTTCTTATATGACTATATGCTTAGTCCCTTCACATGACTTGGGGTGACTCTCAAGGCTGTCACAGCATCTAAACACCCTCGGGGCCATCCTTGAAACTGTACCCCAGACCCCATCTGTGCAAAGTCCTGCCTTTTCTTTTCCTTCCTTTTGAAGCACCCGGCTGCTAAGACTCTTGGATATCACTGCTAAGACCAGGCAGACCCCTTAACAGGGCCAGCAGAGTTCATTTCCCACTGCCTTCTGGTGGAGCCCAGAGAGCCTGGTATGATCTTTCGACTTCCCAAGACGGGCATGGGGCACAGTCCAGGCCAGTGGAGAGGGTCCAGAGAACCAGAGACAATCTGATGGGGACTGGCTTTAAGTGACCAGCTGGAAAGCTGCAGATCTCTTGTCTCAATAAGTCTAGGAAAGATAGGGGATTCCACTGGGTGGGGGGCCAAGACCAGAAGAGTGAACCTCAAAATGGCTGGTCTATTCAGTGCACTTCCTCAGAAAGAGGCTCAAAGCATTCTGGATGCCAGCTCTGGGGCACAGTGTGGCCATGGCAGACACAGCTGTCCAGACCCATCTTCATGGACCTATCTCTTCCAACCCACCACCTCCTGCCTCACTGAGAGCCATTTTGTGCCCCTATCCTAATCCCTTGGTCTCAGACTCTACTTACTGACCCTGCCCAGACACCTCTGCTACCCATCTGTACAGTGCTGCCTCACAGGCCTGTGAGCCTGAGGGCCCGCCACACATAGTGCTGTCCAGCCCAGCCAAGTCAGGGCCACTCACATGCAGGAGGGTACTGTTGTGGTTAAGGCCAGTTGCTTGTCTTCTGACCTCTGGCCAGGGGCAAGCATAGGTAGTCAGGTCGCTGGCTCAAAAAAAGCTGGAACCTAAGGCATTGAGGGTACAGTGGGGACAATGTCAGTCAGGTGGGCATGGCTTTGGGTGACCCTTGCCCTGGACATGGGCTGCTAGCTGGACAGGTCATGCGCTGTGCAGAAAGGCAACACTTGGATGAGAAAGCAGAGAGCCAAGGTAAGGTCAGTCAGTAGCTCCAGTTCCCTGAACAAAGAAGATTCAGGGAGAAGCCTGTTAACCCAGGGAGCCTCAAAGGGCAAGGGGGTGGTTTGGAGGGCTCCATTGTGAGTTCTAGTGTGTGAGGTTCAGCCTGTAACTGAACATCCTGTTGGTTTATGGGTGACCTTGGGCCTGGAAAGAATGTCCCCAGGCTCTGCCTCTTCCTAGGCCACCACGAGGACGACTATAGCCTGCAGTGGGAGCCTGGAAAGGTTGCTGGACAGAGACAGAGTAGGGTGCTTGCAGTCTGGTGTAGGCTCTGCCAGGAAGCAGGAAAATGGCCTGGGCAAAGGGTCAGTGTTCCAGAGAGCAGCCCATCATAAGTGAGCTAGGTGTGTGACAAAGAGGCTGGTAGCTTTCCAGGCTTGGGGTCAGGAGGTTCCCTGGCAAAAGGCATCTGAAGGAAAACAGGCCCTGTTTCCCGGTGGGCCCCACCTTAGGCAGCCCCCAGGTGCTGAGGGGTGGGAAGGCCATTCCTGAGCTGGGTGGATCCACATTGCTGGAGCATGGGCCACCATATGTCACCACTCTGAAGGGTGGACCTCCATTTTGGCTGAGGACAAGGTGTCCCCAAAGTCAAGTCAGAAGAGAACCAGAAGACCAGGCTGACTGGGCCCATACCTCTGCCTCACTGTAGACAGCGAGGAGCCTTTGTGAACCTTGCACAAGCAGACAGAAAGCAGTGTCCCTCACAGGAGCTGGCATGATGAGTTAGTTGGTGGCGGTAAGGAGGCAGAGACCCTCCTGCCTCTCCCTCCCAGAGACCCCTGACCCTTTACAGCAGGTAACTCCTCCACATGACAGCTTCACCTCCCTACCCCAGAGTTGCTGCCAGGAGCCCTCTCAATTTGTTAGCCTAATTGCCCTCCGTGGGGGTCAGCCGCTGGAGGAAAGAATAGAGGCCGGCTTGGCAGTGGAGCATCCAATCTGCCTGGAACTGCTGGCCAGGGAGACTCCTGCCCTGTGGCATGCCCAGCCCTGGCTCTTAACCTCTTCAACCGCAAACCTAGAGCTCAGAGTGTCCAAGGTTGTAGATCGGCCAGGCAGAGATCAGAGCCCGGGTCAGTGCGCCCCTTACCACGCCCCCCACCACGACCCAGGCGACCTCGGCCTCTGCCTCAGCTCGCACAAGTGTTTCGGTTTCGCAGATCCGCACCTGCCGCACGACGCTGGCTGGCGTTGAATCCAAAATCCCTCAGCTCCTCCGATCCCGGGCTTCTCTGCTCCCGCTCCGGAAGCCCCGCGCCCCGCGCCTTTAAACCTGCGCGGCACCTAGTGGTGCCAACCCCGCCTCCGCCAGGGGGCGGGGGCAGGAAGCTGGGCGTCAGTCAGGTCTGGTCTCAGATGCCGGGAACCTGGGACTGGCTGGGCAGCCGGTGAGCACCCTCAGGCGAGGAGGGGCTACGGTGCGCGGGACCCTGCCCGTGCCCTCCCACTTTGAGTCACCTTGGAAGAATGCGGGGCGGGGGCGAGGGTGGGGTGCAGAGCGACCTGCGCCCGCCCGACAACCTTTGAACGGAGTTTGCAAGAGAAATGTGGACCTCCCGAGCTCGAGCTCGCAGTTTTGGTTCCCCAAATGTGACTTTATTGCCTTTTATTGCCTGAAAGTGAGAGCAAGCGAGTTGCGCTGCGGTTTTGCTGTCCCCAGCTACTCTTCATCCAGTCCCTGTCCTTGGGGTCCTGCTCAGCCCTTTGTGGATGACTCCATGCCCTGCTTTCTGTCCAGGGCCTGCTAAGTCCTGGTGTCCTCTGGGTTCTGCTCTTTGTGCCGGCTCAATAGCCTTGACCTTGGAAGGACTGGGGTCTCTGTGCTGGAGAGGTTGGCAGCCCTGTCTGGGAGAAGTGGTCAGGCCTCACCCCAGTGCCCAGCCACCTCATCTGGGCTCAGAGAAGGTCCCTTGTGCACTGAGGGGTACCTAACCCCCTCCCTGAAGCCCATCCCAACACCCATCATCCGAGGCAGGGGTCTGGGGGAGATGGAAGTCCAGAGCTTCAGGGCGACGATATCCTGAGCCTTCACACTCTGAACCCCGGCCCAGTACTGGAACCTCTCATGGATCTTACAGCTGGTCCTTCCCTTTGCTGCCCCGAGATCCCAAGTGTGGTAGGGGATAAGGCTAGGGTGCATTCCCTTCACCCCATTGGGCAAGGCCTAGGGCCTACATTGCCCCTGACCCTTGCTCTGAGGGCCAGCCACCCCCATCCCCTGCCCCTCACCTCAGCCTGGGTCATTCTTGACTAGAAATTCATCCAGAGCCACCCAGCCTCCTCCAACATGAACCATTAGGGCACCCCAAGTCACCTGTACAGCCCCAGGAGGGTCAGGTAAGGCCTCCTTTGGAGTATGGAAACAAGTCCCAGGGCTCTCCCCTAACATCCACCTACCAGGCTCAGACTCACACCTGTTCATCAAGGCTCCCTGGACTGTGGACCCATCTCTGGTAACCTGTGTGCTTGTGCCCATCTGTACCCCCTGCTCTGCTCATGCTGTGTGGCAGTGGCTGCTAGCTGTTGGGGAGCTCTGACTCCAGCATGGGGTGAGCTGGGATGTGGGCGCACGTCCACCGGAGGTAACCAGACAGCCATCACTTCCTTTCCCACCAGATGCCAACATGCCATCCATGAGATCCTGCTGGGAAGAATGGCGGTGCTGTTTGTGGCTTAAGGTGTAGAGTAGATCCCAGACCCCCTTCTTCCTTTGGCCAAGCCAGCGCATCCCTGCCAGGTCAGAAAATCCAGGGGTATGCCAGCCCCTTGCTGTGAGGGGCATGAGCTGGCCAGGCCAGGCCAAGACTCTGGTGTGCGCGGGGTGTGCTATGTGCCCTCTGCCCTCACCTGCTCCGGGTGATCTTTTTCTTGCCAGCTCCTTTCCCTGGTCTCCAGGTTCCTGGGCTCTGGCTCCCTATGATGGCCTTTGCCCATGGCAGCCAGCTCAGCTCTTCTTGGGACACCCCTGGGATGGCAGCCTGGACAGGATCCCTCTGAGCCAGCACCTGCACTGGGGATGCATTCCAGGGCTTTAGGTTTTCAGCCCCCAGGACTCCAGGCAGCACCTCCAGCCTCCAGCCCGATGCAGTAGGGTATGAAATAAAGGAGAGGGATGGAAAGTATCAGGATGTGAACCAGGTGGATCCTTGTGCCCAACTCTAACCACTGGTTTACACATTGCTGCCTGAAGCCAGTGTTTCTGCTAACCCCCTATGGATGACAAGAACTCTCAGTGGGCACCAAGAGGCCCAAGTCACCTGACAATAGTGCATAATGCTGACCCTGGGCTGTTGCACAAAGTCGCTGTGCAGGTGGGAGCTTCTGGCCATAGGCCCCACCTTGGTCCTGAGGGCCTTAGCTTGGCTCAGCCAGTGGGGGCATGTGAGCAACTCCTCCATGATGTGACCCTATAAGCAGCAATTTCCCCTCCAGGGCACAAGGCCTAAAGAGGAGATGTGGCAGATGTGGGCCAGATGGAGGACAGGAGAAGTAGATGGGGACCACCAAGTGGGAAATTGACTTCTCCCTTGGAGGGCAGGACTTGGTGGTCTGGCTGCCTGGCAGGTTTATCAGCAGGCTCGGGTGACAGGTGCCTTTGAAGTTAATCCCTCCTTGCCATGTTGGGCCCCTCCATGGCCAAGACATCACTAAGGACTGCTGTCCTCCCGGGAGCTCCTGCCAAGAGAGTGGCTTGGTCACCTGCCTGCCTATATCACACTGGAGTAGGCTACCAATGTCACTGGTGTCCTTGAAAAGGGTGACATTTGGACACAGACATGCACAGGAAGAAGATGCTATCACTAGGTGAGGGAAAAGGGGCTCAAACCATACTTTCTGGGCTCTAAGGAGAAGCTATCCACCTATACTCGAACACAGGAAGACTGTGCTCCTATGGGTTGAGCATGCTGGTCTGTGCCAGCTGGTTATTGCCCCCTACTCCCTAACTAAGCCAATTCTTAAGGTGAAAAACGCCGCTGGTTGGAGAGGATCTGATACTCATACAGGCTCCCACCCTACAAAAGTCACTGAGCCCGCTCTGGACTCAAGGTTACATTAAACACTGGAGAGAAGCCCTGCCTGTAGCTAGAAGTGCGTTTCTATTTTGCTCCAAATATGTATTTTATTACAACTGCTGCTCAAATGAGACTCATTCTTGATAGTACTGTGATCTTAATTGGCAACTCTTAATTGGCAAGAAGAGTTTGATGCTGTGTCAGCCCTTTGTTTCCCATCTTATCCCTCTTACCCCTTGGAAGCTGTGCAGTGCAGTCCTTGTCTAGCACCTCTAACCCTGACCATGTTCGAAGAGCAGAATGCCATGTCTCCGGGGACCAGAAGCTATTGGAAGCCCAGGTCAACCCATGAAGCTGTTAACAGATCCCTCCAGATCTCCTGTGGCCCCACTTTTCTCCCCTCCACTGCTATACCCTTTGGCTTGGCCCCTCCCACCAGCAGGCAGCAGCTCAGCCTCATGTCCCCTAGTTGTTCACCCTCCCTGCGGTCACCCCTTTCTCCTAAGGAACTCTGGGGTGACTCCCTCTTTTCCCCAGACTTCCAAGGTACCTGCAGGGCTGGGGCCCAGTCGCCACCCTCTGGCTTCAGCCCCTTCTTGATGGCTGCTTGCTCTGCTAGGCCACATGGAATCCACTGGACTGGCTCCCATGTGGCCTTCAGCCCAGCGTCCTGCTCCTGAGTTTCTGACCAGCACCCTCTCAGGGTTTCCCGCTCTGCCTGCAGCACAACTGAGGACAGACATGACCACCTGAGAACTCGGCCTTGGGCTCTGCCTCACTCTCACCAAGCTGGCCCCCACCTCTGGCGTACCTCCTCCACCTGGCCACACCCCTGAAAGCCCTGGGGTACTTGGTGAGAGGTGCCATTCCTGGATGGGCACCATGGGTGCTGCTGCCTGGCCACGGGCTTCTGCCTGTGATACCAGCTGCTCAAGCCACTCTGATAGCTGGGCCAGTTGGATGTTCAGCTGGAGGGGGAGGGAAGCATTGTTCCAGATACCCCCGCTGGGGCTGAGAGCCCTGAAGATGCACTCCCAGCCATTCCTGCTCCCCAGGATGGTAGGCATCAAAGTGGGCAGGACATGATAGAGTCCTCTCCTGGGGGTTAGGAATAAGAGGATACATACCTGCTCCTGGTCTTTGGGCCTTGGACCCTCCAGATCAAGCTGGGCCTCTAGGTATGTTGGGGATAAGGATTTGGGGGAGCCTATCCTCTGAGTACAGAGCAGTGTCTGCCAAATGTGGGCTGTGCTAGACATAGTCAGCTTCACATACTCCTGAGTCCCTCCAGCTGCTGCTTCACAAGCAAAGCTTCATCCTCTCCAAACCATGCCAGAGAAGGCAGTGCCAAGTCGTGGGCATTGCAGGGGCGCTGGGGACTAGGGCAGGGACAAAGGCAAGGGAGGAACTTGGACTGGGGGTCAGAAAGCATGGTGTATGAGGGGCTGGAGGAGATTGAAGGCATCCTGGCAGACTTGGCTGGCCCAGCTGAGTGACCTGGCTGATGTTCACTCACCATGGGCAGCTCTGCCAACTGGTCTCCAGTGCCCTCCCGAGGTCCTTGGCATATGCTGTAGCTCCCTTGGCATATGCTGTGGATATATACCACTGAGCTCTGTGCCAGGCCACCAGCCCTAACCCTGGGAGTGGGTCATACCTGCAAACACTGCACAACCCTCTCCTGGCCCTTGAGCCCTAGCTGGCCCTGTCCCAGCTCAGCCAGGAGCTGCTCACCAGGGCCCAACCATGTCAGGAGGGTCTCACAGGCTGCATCAGAGCTCTGTGCTGCTGGGACAAGCTGCTGCAGCAGCCCCCACCTAGAGACCAAGATGACGCAGTTGGTATCCCCCTCCCTGCCCTGGAGCCCTCCCACCCTCACCCCAGGCCTCACCTGTTCTCTGCCTGCTGCACCAAGCGATGCCACTGTGCATGCAGCTTTGCTGGACTCCCCACCTCCTGCAGCCTTGACTCTACCTGTGGTGCCCGCTCCTGCAGCAGGTGCTGGAGCAGCTTCGGGGACATAACATTGGAGGCTGCACACTGTGTTCTGGAAACCCTTGCCCCATCCTCCCATCTCTGTCTCCTTCAGGGGTCACTAGCCATCGGAACATGAACAGGTATCTGCATTCAGCCCACCCCTGGGGATCTGTTGTGGCCCTACTCCTGGTGGGGCAGCATTGTGTGCTGGTGGCTTGACCCGAGGCTCGGGACCAGGTGCTGCCACTTGGCTCTGTTCCCCATACCCTGTACCTCCTGCTCGTGCAACTGAGCAGCAGCCACCATGGCATCAGCGGCCAAGGGACCCTGGGAGGCCTGCAGCTTCTCCATACCATCCAGCCAGCTCTGCAGGGTATGCAGGAGTGCAGGGGATACCCGCAAGATGGATAGGTTCAACCTTCTGCCTCCCCCACCTGTGCTAACCCCCAGGCTGTCCTGCCTCACCTGGGCTGCATGCCTTCCTTTCTGGCCAGGCTCTACCTCCATAGCCTCAGTCACTACAGTCTCTGTCACCTCTGTCACTTGGATGGCATGGATGCCCCAGGAGGCCCAGAAGACCCTTGGGAGATGCAGGTCCTGGAGGTCTGCAGATGGAAAGGGGCCCACTTGGCCTTTGGACCAGCTTCTCTTTTCCCCCAGGCAGCGCAGCCTTGAGACCCAGTTTCCCATGATGGACTCCAAGAGGGGCAGGATGACCAGAACTCTGAAGACAGCCCTGTTGGGGCAGGAGGATCCAGATCAGGGCCAAGGCCTTCTTGCATTCTGCAGCTGCCCTGGGAACAGGTCATGCTAGCATTTACCTTCTGGGCTGTCTGCTGCTGGCCTCTGCCTGGGCAGGGTAGAGTGGGGCTAAGGGGGTGGTGGGGGGCCAGCACCACCTTCACCCATGTCCCTGTACCTGGCCTTTCCTCCAGCACTGCTCAGCCAGTTCTAGCCATCAACCCAGCCAGTCTGGCCTCAGCACTTTCCATTGTGTTTCCTGGGAAACCTGTGCCTGGCCTCAGTCACGCTATGGGGGAGGGGTTGGGAAAGGGGCTTCAGCTGGAGCTTCTTACCCTTCCCCCAAGTTCCTTGTACCATGTGGGATGGCGGGGGGGGGGGGGGGCTTCAGGGAGCTCACTCCCAACCTAGACCCATCCAGGCCATGATGCTGCCCTGGGGCTGAGCTCTACCTGAGGAAAGGGCTGCCTTGATGGTCCCCAAACCTAGATTAGGTATGATCAGAGGAAGCAGAGACACTGCACACAGTGCTGGGAGTGGGAGCTGGGACCATGGACGAGTTCTTTTCAGCCATACAGACTTCAGGAACTTCTGGGCTTCATCTGCCTCCTCACTGGTGTGGCCCTCCAATTCCTCTCCATCCTGCAACTGCCTCACCCAAGGCTTCCCAACACAGAGGCAGGTCAGTCACACCTTCCCCCACTGGACCCAGAAATGAATCTACTTTCCAACCAGCCTGCAGCCCCCTCCTTGAGGGTCTACTGCACAAGGGGGAGGTGACACCCAATCAGAAGGTGTGGGTGCTCCTAGGTCCCTGCAGTACTGCAGGCTCATGGAGTGCTTTGTGGGCTTGAGCATTAGTATGGGCCCACCTGGTCCCTTATCCTTCTATTCCCATGCCCACTGATTCCTCTCCCGAGGTGTGGACGCTGTGACAAGCAAGAGGCCACCTGTGTCCATCACCATAAAGGCCTTGGCCTAGGATTCGTCCTTCTCTGGGGTGTAAACTGGTCCCTCAGCTGCTAATGGTGATGGCCTGAGAGTCCCAGCCCCAAAGCCAGCCCTACCCTCCCCACCCATCCTTGCTTGTGATCTCTCAGGCTTGCTCCTGCCCAGGCTCATCTGTCATGAGTTGGTGTTGCTGTTGCCCTGGGAACTTTCATCGGAAAATGTTGGGCGAGGTGGGCAGGCAAACAGGCCAGGGCAAGCTGCAGATGTACAGTGGGTGGATGGGTGGTGGACGCCTCTCCCGGGAGGGCTTGTCTGTCTCACACCCTGGGACGGCCCACCTTGTCCTGCCTGCTCAGCTCCCTACCCTGGGGACGTCTCAGTAGATGGGTCTCTCTGGGCCTCAGTGTGTCTCAGCACAGGCCTGCTCACTCCTGATACCCAGACTTCAGCTTCTCATGCGCACATCCTGATGTGAAGGTCAGGGAGCTTCCATGACCTACTATCTCTACCCTGAGTGTCTTCCCCAGGCAGAGTGCTCAATGAAAAATGTCCCAGGCTCGCTTCCCTCAAAACCACAGAAAAAGAGTCAATACCCCTCATTCCTTTCCTTGGGTCTGTTGGCCTGGCCAATCTGATTTCTGTCTGAGCCTCTAGAAGGCTGTGACTGAGAAGTGGATTTTGGGGGGCCCAGAGAAGCAGTGGAACCAACTTTTCCACAGCCACTGAACCAGGGACCTCAGTTGAGTTCACCCATCCTGGACAGTAAATAGAAATACACACCAGAGGGCTGGAGATTTAGTTCAGTGACTCAAGTGCTTGCCTAGGAAGTGCAAAGCGATCCCCAGCACACACACACACAAACACACACACACACACACACACACACACACACAAAAGACAAAAAGAAAAAGAAATACACACCAGAAAGATTCTTGGCTGGAAAGGAACAGTGACACCCACTGTGACGATTCACCAGCTCCATTGTCCCAAGGGCACCAATGGCCACTCCCCAGGCTCCCAATAGCTCAGCCAGCCTTGAAGCGTCTTTTCCACATGGTCTCCTGGGCCACTGAAAGTGAGCAAGCCAGGACTGGGAGGGAAAAGCACAGGCCCAGGATGGTCTACTCTCTGGCTCACAGTCATGTGGCTTGTGGATTACCTAAACACCCACTGCCTCTCTTGGCAGCTTCTACTCTCTATTCGCCCACAGCAGGCTGGCACCCTAGCTGCCATCTCCATAGGCCCCTGACCTATTGCCCTCTGCACACCACTCCCCGATCTCAGATCCCACAGCCCCTGCTCCACCAGGGCATGTAAATGCATGCTGGGCTGGAGGAAAGGTGCGGACAGAGCCAGAAGGAAGAGAGCAACACGGATGGACAGGTCTGCAAATACAGCCCAAACCGGTCCTGGTTGGAGTGAATCTCCCCAGAGGACATGCTATGGGGTACCTGACAATGGCCAGTTTGGCCAGCCACAGCTGGTGTGGATGGGAAAGCTTTGGCACACTGGTGTGATTGTGAAGCTGGGAGTATAACAGAATCCCCCTCTCCCCTGCCAGTATACTTCAGTTTGTTAGTTGCCCAGATAATAGTCCCTGCTCCAAATCTGGTTGCTTCTGTGTCTTAGAAATGGCTGGTTACTGTGATGCAGAGCTGGTCACTAAGATGCCCATTGTATAAACCAATCCTCAAGTGACAAGCCATTGTGCCTTGTACTTCCTGCTTGCTCTTCTCATAAAAGCCGTGGACCACCAGAGATTGGCGCCTGATATTTTGGGAGTGATCCCGAGCAGTGTCTGTTGACATAAATAAATCTATCTCTAAATTCTGGGTGTCATTTTAGTATTTCTGCTTGTCATTGAAGGAGCAGCTGCAGGTCTGAGGTGCTGAGCTGGCCAAGTAGAAAAGTTACCATTATTCTTCCTGCCCAGGCCCCTGAGCCAGTCTGAGCATTCTGATGTGTGAGGTTTCTCCCTTGGGGCTGCTGAGAACCCGGGAGAAAGGGGAGAGTCCTGGGAGGACTGACTCAGGAGAGACCTCAGACGGGGTTTAGGGTGATATACGTCAGGACAAGTGGTTTTTTCCTTTGCCAAATGCAAGGCTGAAATAGAAACAAATTACAGCAAGAGTCATAGTAGCTACATATATGGTGCTAGTGTCTCGGTGATAGAAGAGGACAGAGAACCCTAATGCTAATTCTAACATTAATTCTAACCCAACTCCTTACTCTAGCCGTAACACTAGTCACAGATCTAACCCTAATGCTAATAAAATAAACCAGGTCCCAAAACAGAACCTAATACTAGTCCCAGTCCTAGTCCTAAAACTATCTCCAACCATAATCCAAATCCTAACCCTAGCCCTAGAGGTAGATATAACCCTTCAACAAGCCATGACCCTAACACTATAGTGGCCCTAGCCTTAGCCCTAATTGCAATATAAATATAGGCCTAGCCATGTAACTTTATTTATTTAATTTTTTTTATTTTATTTAAGGAGAAAAGAAAAAAAAAGCAGAGAAAGGGTACAAGTTATACAGATTTGCAGAAAAAAAAATGAACAGTAGGAAATCACTAGTTAATGGATTACATATTGTCATCTTAGAAATAATTGTTCAAGTCACAAAATTAAAGCTTGTAAAGTGGACATTCCATCAATGATACTGCAAACAGTTCTGTTCAATGATCCAATAAAACTCTGTGATATCATTTTCTATCTTATACACTTAAATATACATGCAGTTATATAGTTTAGAGCACTTTCTTTTCCTCTCTTTTGTACAATGACTATTACACATTTTGGGTTTCATTGCTCCCACGGTTCTTATTACTTTTTTGGAAGAGAGTAAATAGCCATGTAACTTTAAACCCAACCCAACCCCTAACCAAAATCTAAACCTCAAACTGGGTGTGGTAGCGCCTGCCTAAAATCAAGCACTTCAGAGGTTGAGGAGGGAGGATCACTGAGAGCTAAAGGACAACGTAAGCTGCAAGGAGAGACACTGCTTTAAAAACACATAGTGAGACCCTGATTTAAAAACCCAAACCCCAACACTCACCGGAACCTGAACTGTGGCCCCTAACTCTAAACTCTAGCCCTAGACCTAACCCTAGCCCTAGCCCTAGCCCTAGCCAGTCGTAATGACCTGAACACCCTGAACCCTAAACCTAATCCCTAATCCTAGATTTAGCTCAAACCATAGCCCTAGCCCCAATCCTTGAGTCAGCCCTAACCCTCCTGGAGCCAGAGTGGTTGAAACAGCCACATGGTAGCTCCAAGGTGTTTTCGAATGGTCAGAACCTGAGCTTTGGCCATTACCAGAAATCCAGCACACACCTGGTTTAAGAGTAAAAGCTCAGAGACTCTCTGGGTTCCCAGCATGGGAAACCTCAGATCTGCAGGGCTATAGTGACGATGAAGTCCACCAGTCTCTGACTCCCTGAAATTCTAAGAAAATCAGATTCACTGTCACAGCTCTGGTTTTGACAGCTGAGGTTACAGGCTGAATTGTCTCCCTAAAGGCTGTGTTCAAGTCCTAATTTCAACACTTACAAGTGTGCCCTTACTTAGAAGTGGGGTCTTCTGGATGTCATCAAGTTAAGATGAAGTCATTAGGATGGACCTTGATGCACTAGAACTGGTTGTTCTCAGGAAAGAATGCCATGCAAAGACAGATCCGCTTGGGGATGACAGTGTGCAATGTTTGTACCAATGTTGCCCTCAATTGACATGTTTTGAAATTTCACTGTAGTTTTTTTCTTCTTCTTTTTATCTTTGAATAAGATGGTTAAAAAAAAAAAAAAAAAAGACAGAGACCCCAAGAGAAGCAATGTGACCCTGAGGCAGAGGCCAAGAGCTGCAGTTGTGAGCAGAGGTCCACTGAGAGGTCAGCATGTCCAAGGGCAGGACTGGGAGGGGAAGGGAGTGGAGGGACATGTCCCACTGACAACTTCAGCTCAGCTTTCTGGTACCAGGACTGAGCGAGAATACATTTCCAGTGTCCCAAGGACCCATTAGTGATCCTTGTTTATGACAGCCCCAGAAGACTGCTTGCCGGCAACCTGTGAGCCAGTTACAGTGGTCTTACCTATCAGAATCATCCTGGGGACCCCACACCTGGCCTGCAGGTAGGGGCTCAGTCCCAGTAAAGACCAATGAGGCAGCCTCAAAGCTTACCTTCCAGGCAGAGCCTGAGCCCCGCAGTCCTGCTGGCCAAGGATGCAAAGCCTGGAGTGGGAGCAAGGGAGCATGTTCCTTGCCCCTCCTACCCCACCTTGCAAGTCACCTTGCCTGACCTAGAAGTCAGGCACAGCTCTGAGGAATCAGTGGGATGACTCTAACGAGAGGAGTGAATGAACCTAAGGGGTCAGGTGGGCTGCAGTGTAAGCATCAGGGTGTCCTGAACTTCAAGGCCCCTGCCATGTGTGCCCATTGGGCCTGTGTAGAAAGGTGCCCTCAGCAAGTGTGTCTGTGAACTCGAGCCCCCAGAGCACCCTGTCATCAATGGCTGGTGAGTGTGGGACTCTGTCCAGCCTAGAATAGAGACCCTGTGTTGCCCTTCCTGGCTTCCTTCCCTCCTCCCTGCACCCTCCTGACTCCTATCCTGTCTTTCTGATCTTACTTCATAATCAGTTACTCTGAAATCCTTGCCTCAGGCTCTGCTTCCAGGGAGCCCAGCCCAAGACCAGATCTCGTGCCTACACTGAACCCTCAGGTGGCACCCGGTACGCAAGGCAGTTCTCAGGAAGACACCTTTATGAAGCTGCATCAAGAAAGAACCAGGCACACAGTACGTATAATCAACACTATATCACTGGATTCGATCTAGGTGTGAAAGCACCTGGCAAAATGTCCTTTGCCAGCTTCAAAAGAGGTTCTTAGCCAGGCATGGTGGCACACACCTATAGGTAAGTATTTGGGAGGCTAAGGCAGGAGGACCACTGCAAGTTCTAGGGCAACCTGGGCTACTAAGTGAGTTGAATGACAGTTTGAACTGCTCAGTGAGACCCTGTCTCAAGGGGGAAAAAGAGGGATTCTTGAGCAATGCCCCTAGGGAAGCATCAACTGCCTTAGCTCCTTGGGCCTGACCATGTGTACCAGAAGCTCCACCATAAATGACAGGGCTCACCTGTCACCAGCTCCTCAAGTCCCCATCTTGGGGTTTTACCTCAATTTGGACCCAGCTTGTGTGGGCACAGCCGTGGCCATGTGGATCCCCAGTGTCCAGGCCAATACACTGGAAGTTGGAATGGGTCACCAAAAAGCTGTCTAGAGCTATGATCATCCAGAGATTACACAAGGAGGGTTTTAGCCACAACTCCTGCTCCACTCACCACTGCACTCCCTGCTCTGATCTCTTGGAACCCTCTGGTCCTATGTCCTCATGCTTGTCCCCCTGCCCCTAAAAATTCAGAAGGTTCTCATTATCCTCCCAGCAAACTGTCTTTGCTCTGATTTCTGCTGCTTATAATCAGGACCCTAAACTGTGCACCACAACTAGGCAACCAGTGCAAGTTTCTAAATCACGGCCAGACATGCACAGAATCACGAGGGACCTGAGCCTATGGGGCCCTATCACACTACCAGCCAATTTCTGGCAGCAAGGTCCTGCAGGGTGAGGGCTCCCAAAGCGATAGGAGCTCTGGAACCTTCCTTTCCAGACTGACAGAATTGTTGATGGGTGCTGAACTGCCCCTTAGCCAAGTACTTTCATGTCATCCTCCTGGGGGATCTGCTCCATTTTCACAAGTCAGGGCAAACTCAAGTGGAATGAAGAGTGATCTTGGAGTCCCTAAATGAGCAAGGCTAGCAGAAATTCAGGTCTAGTCAATCCTGTCAGCATGACCTCATGAACTGGGGGTTTTGGATTTGAGATGGTCATCCACACTAGAACAGATCAGTGTGGGCACAGCTATGGCCATGTGGACCCCTGACCAAGGCTGGCTTGGAGAGGTTATCTCAGCAGGGGCTTCCACCATGGTGGGTGGAAACTCTCAGCAATAGAGAAGCAGCTCCCAGTCCCAGAGCTCTGCAGGAAGGGAGCTGGGTCCCCAAGGCAGGTGGTCTGTTCACCAGGCACGGCACTGTTTCAGGTGCATTGTT